GAGTCCAACAAGCATTGCTATACGCCAGCTTGCTAAGAGCGCTCAGCTTGCAATGCAATCAGCAACAATACTCGCAGAGGAGAATAAGAAGCTACGTACAGTCAATAAGCGCCAACAACAAAAGCAAGACCGGCGCCGTCAATATATCGCCTCTGGCGGGGTGCTTCAGGTGCAGCAGGCTCAGCAGCTTACTGCAGAGGCAGAAAGGTTGGTCATGGGCAGTGACCAGAACCAGACTGGTGAGCGACGCCAGCGCGCGCCGCCAACGTGCACGAAATGCCACACTGTAGGACATACTCGGACGTCATGCAGGACTAGATCATGAATTATATCTCTTAATTATCTCCAAAAATATTACGTTGTTGTGGCTCAATTGCGTAAAACGTCGCGTCAATTTTGGTGGGGCGGCCAGCTTACTGATACGGCCAGCTTACTGATAGAACACGTTACCACCATACTAAGCTTACCTAAACAATGATGGCATCCCACTACGCGCATGACGTTTAGTGGGGGTCCTATCCCCCACGTGTTCTGCATATTTGAAGCTTCTACTCCGCGGGACATGCTCAACATGTACTTTACATATGTGTATGCACGTTGCACGTGAGCCAGGGACTTACTATCTGCGATGTTCGAATCAAGAATGCAAAGAAAAGAGCTTCTTCATATCAAGATAGAACTAGAGACGCTAGAAGGCTACCAAGACACTAGCAACAAGGAAGGGTTGAGAGACTACAGGTGTTAGACAGTCCACCGTCTTACTGCACGCCATGCCCAGTCTATTGGAACTAGCACGTTGCGCGAAACTGGAATGAGATTGGGAATTGTACCAGATGACACTTTTTTCGACAAAGAAAAGGACGGGGATGCTGGTTCAAAGAATGATCGAAATGCAAAACGCCTCTCTGTATGTGCGATGCGAGTTTTGATGTTCAGAAGGGGAAGGGTGTGACAACATCAGATAAACAGTCTGACTCGTGCAATAGACCCTTTTTTTATCTCTTCTCCATCTGACAGGACATTTGTGCCAAAAATAGACTCGATATGTATCGAAGAACATGAAGAAGAAAGAAAAAAAAACTGTCAACTTATCATGCCTACCCCTTTCCCTTCTTTGAAAGAAAATCCCCCACCAAGAAAAGAATGTCCAGGATGCTTGCGCAACAGCACTCACGCCCGACACCCGTGTGATCTCTCCTCCCTTCCAGCAGGGGTGGGCGCGTGCACCCGCAAGCTCATCAAACGACCACCCCTCTGAACCGTGGAATCACGACTGCAATCCACGCTTTTTGCGCACATTTGCCGGAAACAGAAGGTTGCGGTGGGGAAGTGTCTTGGATTGTTTGATGTTTGTGTGTTTGCGCGCCTACAGGACCAGGGGTGAGGAGGTGAAAGAGTGCGTTTGTGTGGTAGCGAAGGGGCGGTCGGTTGGGTTGGTTGGTTGGGTCCTTTTTTTAGAGGGTTAGTTTTGCGAAGGAGAGACTATTGATTTTGGGGTGGTGGAGATTAAAGGGCTTGAGTTGGCGAGGTCAGAGGGTATGGGGTATTGGAAAGGGGGGGGAGGGATTCTGTGGTTTTTGAATTATCGGATATCTATGGACTAAGTGTACTGTTTGTGATGTGCTGTATGTAGAGTAATACTATGGATGTAGTATGTAGATAGGTTGGTGAATACCTATGTGCGGGGTTTGCTCGGGCCGACCTCGCTGCGCCTATACTAGGCCCATCCAATAACTCCATCTATGGACTATCTAATGGGCAATCTAAATGTGCAAGCGTTGAAAGATACTTTTATGAACCAAAAAACGGCATAGCTTGAATCAAACCCAAAATCACGAGCTCAGCTATGTCCACCCTTGAACAAAACATCCGCCAGGCGCTAGAAGCCCTCCTACCCCGGATCCAAAAGCAACATGCAGAATCCCCAGACACGCCCATCATCCTCGGTATAACCGGTCTCCAGGGCTCAGGAAAATCAACATGGGCATCTACGCTCGTAAAACTACTATCCGAAGAACATGGGCTCTACAGCATCACCGTCTCCCTCGACGACTTCTACAAAACCCACGCTGAGCTCCTCGAGCGGAGAAACCAAGATCCAGCCAACAAACTATACCTTACACGCGGCCAACCAGGAACCCACGACAAGCAGCTCGCCCAATCCTTCTTCCAGCAACTAAAAACCTGGAGCACCACCACAACAGACGGTAGCACTAGTACCAAGGGCCTCGCCATCCCCTCCTTCGACAAAAGCCGCTTCAACGGCGAAGGTGACCGCGCCCCAGAACACTCCTGGCCGCGTATCACCCGCAAACCCGCCGTCGTCATCTTCGAAGGCTGGTGCCTTGGCTTTATACCCGTTCCTTCCTCTCTAATCGAGCAGAAACACGCACTCGCTCTGCAAGGTAAACTCCCCATCAACACACCCGCACAGCACCAAGTCGCCCATTTACTAGAAGTAAACGAGTATTTGAAGCGGTATTGCGATACTTTTATGGGACCCCAGCATTTTGACTACTTTATTCATATTGATACGGAGGATCTACGCAATGTGTATAAGTGGAGGTTGGAGCAGGAGCATAAGATGATTGCGGTTAAGGGAGAGGGTATGTCGGATGAGAGGGTGAAGCAGTTTATAGACGGGTATATGCCTAGTTACGAGATTTATCTGGAGCAGTTACGCGAAGGGCTCTTTGGGGAGAAGGGAAGGATGGTGAGGGCTGTATTGGATGAGGGGAGGGGGGTTAAGAGGGTTGAGGTGTTGTAGGGTTGATGGCAGTGTCTGAGGTTATCTTTATCAATGACTTCTTCAGATATGGATGATGACCAGGTTCCGTCGTAGAACTTCAGGTTCACTCTTGCAAGGCAAACCCTGGGATCTAAAGACCATGTAGCGTAGAGGATGCCCTCTCATCTTGACCCTACTTCTCTCCCCCCTCCCCTTCTTGTTGACTCCTCCAAAAAAACAGATTTCATGACCCCCTTACATCCCAAAAGCACGTCACCTGCAACTTGCCCACACCAACACATTCGGAGTTTCGGCACCGAAACCGCGTATGATCGCGCAGACTATTTAGATCGATGCTGTTCTGGCAATACATGCACGGCCATTTTTCTACAAACGCACAGTTTTGGCGTGCTTGCCTGATGCTGTCTCTATCTCAGGGTATTAGAATTGGGGCGGTTTTTGGGTGTGACATTCAGGAAGAGTGTGCACGTGTAAGGAGTGCGGTGTGGCGTTTGGGATTTGGTGGCAGGGGGAATGTAGCAAGACGTACTTCCACGATTGGATGTTTGAGCGGGTGAGGGTGTGAGATACAGGGGTGTGGGAGTGGTTGGAGGAGGGCATGTTTGTGATATCCTCTTTGTATTTGTATTTGGACATGGATGAATCGAGGTAGGAAGAAAAGGCGTGTGAGGATGCCGCTCCTGTTGCCCCTCTAAATAGAATGCTGCTGTCCACATATGGATTAAGAAACGTACAATTGGTTTCGTTGCTGGGACCCTGGAACCCTTGAGTCTGATGTTCCAATCGAGTGCGTGGTATTAGAGGGTCAGGTTCAGTGTTGGGACAGCAGGCGCAAACAAGGGAACGTAGCGGTAACAGTGTGATTGTCCATTTTTTGCAAAGGGCTAATTCCGTTTGATTCACTTTCTGGGAATTATTCATTTCTTTCACTTATTTGTGTGCAGTGTAAGTTTAGAGTCAAGGCGAACAACAACATGTGCTCTTTCTCAGCCTCGTCCTAAACGTTATCCGCAGCGGCCCTACTAACTACACTTAGCGATCAGCACCGCTAGCTCATCATGTAATATTCTCAGCCGCAATCTGTATCATTGTGAGAAATGACAAGACGGCCTCGGCAAAGCTGACAGTAATGTATAAAAACCGCCCCACAACATCGTAATGCGGCTGAGTACCTGCGGCTGAAGGCTATCGTGGCACCAAAGATCTACGCACCTCCACCACAACCTTGCTACCTATCAAGCCATGACCACGTTGCACAACCCCCCAGCCAACGGCGCACCAGAATCCGCCGTCAAACCACCATTCTTCGATGTCAACGACCCCAAACCCGTCCGTTATGGTGTACTACTCTTCCCAGGCTTCCAGGCGCTCGACGTCTTCGGCCCACTCGACGTCTTCAACTCGCTCGCCATGCTCTACAGTTTCCCCACGAAACTAACCATGCTTGCCAAAACGTCCGATCCGGTTGAAACATCGCACCAAAGAGCCGGCAACACCATGTTTTCGCACCCGGAGACAGACGTCTCGCAGAGCATGATTGTGAACCGTACGTTTGCGCAGCAGCTCGAGCTGCAAGAGGGGGCTGCAGCTGAGGCCATTGACGTTCTGATTGTACCTGGGGGTGTGGGAACCCGCGGCGATATGAGCACCGAGATTGATTTCGTAAAGCAGATCTATCCTAACTTGAAGGCTGTCTTGTGCGTGTGTACTGGGGCGACTATCTTGGCGCGCGCGGGTATTCTGGATGGTCGCAGAGCTACTACTAACAAACGCGCGTTTGCGTGGGCAACGAGCACGGGGCCGGAAGTGAAATGGGTTCCGGAAGCGCGATGGGTTGTAGATGGCAACATTGTGACTGGTTCTGGAATCAGTGCCGGCATCGATGCTACGTATGCTTTTGTGGCGTTGAACTATGGCGAGACGATTGCACAGGAATTGGCGGATTGTGCGGAATATGTGCGTTGGATGGATCAAGATCATGATCCTTTTGCGAAGAGATGGAATGCTGGCGCTTCTTGAAGTTTTCTGCAGCACTAGAACGGTCTTGCGGGTTTGATATAGAGGAGCTGGCACGTATTCGACAAGCTCAAGCGTCTAGTCTGGTGAGTATTCATAGTTCATCCAGCTGCCTTCCATCTTTTGCTGTGTTGTTACGTACTACGGTCACCCGCTCTTTCACTTGTATCATGACAACAAATAAGACTCATCTTCACTTTCACTTCATGGCTTGTTGCCCCGTATTTTGCTCAATTCTCAGTCATTTTACCAACCGCCATTCTACTACTTGTTCTTCTTTTTCTTCTCAACTCAACAAAACTACCGTCTTTAGCACTTATGTCTAATTTGTCCACCCAACGAGATCCTCCACCAGCACCGGACCCCAGGAACGCTAGTCCACTCTTGACGGTCCTTCGACAAGAGCTTGGCCTCAACTGGGGGCTATACAAAGAATTCCTGGTGAGTATCAAAGCCGCCATCCTAGTTGGGGACAATGCCGTTCCACTGATCAACCAGATGGAGCCCTTGATACATAATCGAGCTTGCCAAGTTGCTCACCAGGGTGTGTTATTCTTACTGAAAGAGTTGGAGATGAAGTGTCGTGCCAAGGTAAGACGACAGCAGTCTCCCATCCACATCCACTTGACGCAAACCGGTCGTCTATGCCACCTCTAGTCACGAACATGGTGTCGCGTCTACATCCGTCATCAAGACTGTCTGCGGGTAGTGTTGTACGCAGCTATCCCAGCCAAAATCCCTCAACGTCCCGGACACGCCCAGCTCCTGCTCCTGCTCCCAACCGACCTAGATCCAACGTCGCGACCGCCATTCAAAACCAGCCCCACATCCAGCAAGCTCTACAGTCAACTCTTAGCCATGGCGATGTCATCTTCATTGACCCCAACTTCAAACGCGACGTCCAAGATTTCTTTGGTCTCCCTGGCCGTCCCCGAATTACTAATACCTCATACCACGAGTTCGACTCTGTACCACATTATGAACCTGGTATCGACGATCTTGCTTTGTGGAATAAGAAGGTGGAAGCAGAGAGAGGGGATGACATGTAGTGGTGTGTTTGGCGACACTACGTAGACAGAAAGTGTATAGGAAGGAGCATACTAGTAGTCCGATGGGTGGGTTGTCAAAGGCTCTACGAATCGACAATTTTCTCATCTAACGTGCATCCCTTCGTACCGGAACAGCCGGTGTGGCAGAACACTATTTTTTGAGCAGATCATAAGGCGTTGTGGTAGGCGGTGGTTTAACATCACTTTGCTCTTCGATTGCCGTCTTAATCAACTGACACACATGTTGTACTAATTCTTGTTTGATGCTGCTTGCGGGCTTAATGAATCCTAGCATTAGCCTGACAAGCTGGAAAGACCAGATGCACTGGCATTCAACTTCCAATTTCTCTCTAATCTACTATAAGCTTGCTTCGCTTACGTTGCTGCTGTGCGCCCTTGAAAGTGTTCTAGCAATATTCCCCATCTCTACTAATGCACTCTCGTCGTTATCTAAGTTCTGCTCGAACTGCACATCGAACGTCTGCGTGTGGAAGGTGTTCGGTGCAGTGTTCGACTTTTGCGAGCGGTTTGCGTCGCCTTCTACTGTTTCTTTGCCTCCTTCATTACCAGTATGATCATGGCTGTAACTGCCATAGTCACAATGTTTTCTGGAGCTTCTGTTCTTCGATGCAAAAGCCAAAGGGTATGCGCGTACAAGAATTTTCCGAAGTGCGGGCATACACGAGCAAATAATCCCTACGTCCTGTTCTATGCTAGACCAGTAGACGATGGCAGTCAAGTCCCGTGTGGGATTATTGGCACGGTCCAAGTGTACGATGGATTGTAATCGAAGAGCGGAGACAACCGTAACACTGTCAGATATGATCAATGCCACGCGTTACAACAAGGTGGTTTACATTTACTCACAACGTTCCGACAAAGAACATCAAAGATACGCTGAGTTTTCGACGCCAGGATAGCTGGAGATGGATAACTTCATATAGTGGTATAGCCAGCATCCAAGCATCTAGAGCGATGCTGAGAAGCGAGTTCGCCCAGTTGAGTGCGCTGAAATTGAGGCAACTCTTTTGATCTTTCATATCCCAGGATGTCCAATAGAAACTGGGTAGTTGGCATTGGAGGGCTCCACCAAGGATAAACGCAACTGTCCAAAGAGCAGTAAAGATAAGAGTACCGTACAACAGCTTACGAGTAGTAGACCTTGGAAAGATTCGTAGGAGGAAGAAAATAATAGAAATCTTGACGAGACCAATCTGAAGAAAGTACAGGATTGGGAGAATGTAGGCACTGCGCCGAAAGGTAGCTATGCTGTCGAATGGTAATGTCCAGATATCTCTGTCGAGTCCATTGGGAATGAGGAGTATGTCCACAAGAACAACAGATGGTATTCCAGTAAGCAATGCAGCTATAATGGCATAGTCGTCCCAGCCAGCGTTGGTATCGGAGAATGATTTGAATAGAAGGCGAATGAGCGCGATCGCCGCCGTGATGCTGAACAGGGTGATGTTGAGGACCTTCACTTGGGAGCCGATGTTACTGACAGGCGCGCCGCACAGCGTTGAAGATAAGTTTTTAGCCGCTAGAAGATGATATTTCAGCTTTACTTCTCAACGGTGTATATGAGAGATCCCACTAACTTAGGCTTTGCTTTACAGTGCATGTCTGGCGCACACAACCCTCGATCATGCCTTGAAGCTGCGTGTTTGTACATATGCAACTTGCGTCCGACCCTGCGCACGAAGACGCTCGTATTAATCTTCCTGTGCATATTTTCTATGGCCGTAAATCACTATGGTTTGGTGTTTGCGGTCCGACCATACGTACTGCGCATTCGGGGATTGACGCAAAAAGAGCAGGATCTTGTGCGGCCGTCCATGATGCATAGGTTAAAAGCAAAAACAGTGTATAAAGTTGCTTCATATTGCGGCCGTGATTCTAGAAGGTGGGGCCCTTGACCTTGGTTATAGAAGGTAAGGCCAACATCTTAAGGGGTTGGGTTTGTTTGAGATTCATCATCAGGATTATCACCCAGACGATGATCAATTGCTTAGAATTGCTGGAACTCTAAGGAACTGACTCGGTGAAAATGGTGAAGAGCAACGGAGAGGTACTTGAATATGTGGACTGGCTGTATTGGGCAAAGCCACTGCTTGATTTGATAGCCAAGGCTGTGTTTGAGACTCCTGTGCTACTAATTGGATTGTTTGGCTTATACACTACATTTGCCCTAAGCCTCCCCTGGATTAGAGTGCACCTATTCAAAGCCTGAAGCAGATGATTCAACTGCGACTTTCGTACGCAGCATCGCAAATTTGCGGAAGCTATTACCACAAATGGCATGCAGTGTATTCCTTAACATCACATCTAGCAGAGTTCACAGCCGAATTTGCGAGATATCTCTTCTTGAACCATGATTAGACCATGTGGAGGCCTCGCAAATTCCGTGTCTATTACGTCATGATGTGGAAGCGTGCGTTTGACAAGTAGCAGACCCTTAGTTTTAAAGTTGTGTTGCCCCCGCCAAGACTGAACCAACTGAGACCGATAGTAGCTAGCTCACTCTGGTGCTCTAGAATACCCTAGCAATTTTGTTGCACTGAGCTCGCCTTAAAGTATACGTAGTAACCAACCTAAGATTGGGTTGTAAGCTCGTGTTAGCTAGCTGTTAGTTAGAATAATACAGCGCTAGTAAGAAGTTTAAATGTTGAGGTTGTAGATCTAAGCTGGTAAATGAGTCTCTATTGTATAGAAGCAATCAGGGATGGATATCACAGCTCTCCATTATCCAATACCGTAGCTATCATTTAGTGCAAGTGGAAGGCGTTCATCTTCTCTATAGTCTAAGAAGTCGAAGTAGATGAGTATCGCTGGAGTGACCGAGACAGATCAAAAGGTAGGCTGTATGCACCGCTAAATCCTGACAACAACACAACGTGTCATAGCCTGCCCTATTATCCAAAGCCAGAATCGCTATACACCGTCTCACAGGCTCGACACAACCCTCTTCACCACCTCATCCAGATCCTCCTCTTCCAGCCCAAGCAACTCATTCGCAAACTCCTCTCTCTGCTTCCAATCCGCAGCAACAACCCCCCAAACAGCCACAACCTCCTCCCTCGCCTCCATATCCCCCTCCAACATCTTTGGCCTACAAACCTCCAACTCCTCCTCACTCCTCTGCTCAACCCGCTCAAACTTCTCTCCCGTCGCCTTCTCCAGCGCCTCCAGCACCTCCAGCTGCGTCACACGGTGACTATGCACATACAGCAACTTATTCCTCGTCTGCTCCTCCCGTTCCAACACCCTAACCACCGCCTTGCCTATGAAATCGAGATTGGATGCGGAAAACTTGATGTTGCCGCCATCAAGCAGATATGCCTTCCGGGCCTTGACGTCAAACTTCAGCAGACCACACGTCATACCCCAGTCGAAAAAGTGGCCAGTGATGAGACTCGTCCAGGTCAAGTTGCCCATGCCGGGTTCGCGCTGTTGGTCCTGCAGCGAGATAAGGTAGTCTCTAACGACCTTCTTGCCCTTCATCAAGGGTAGAATCTCGTTCGTCTTTTCGTCGGCCGAATCGCAGCTCCCGAATTCGGCGGGCATGACGCGCTTAACGCCTGCTTTGAAGGCCGCATCGATAAGTTTCTTTTGCGAATCCACGTGGCTCCCCGCAATGGTGATGATCAAGGCGTCGATGTTTTTGCTGCGCAGCGCTTTGGCGACGGCATCGACGTCTAGGTCGTCGGGGACGGTGATGACGTTTGTTTTTGGGTAGACAGATTTGGAGGTCTGGCGGTTGAGGACGTAGAGGGAGAATTCTGAGGCTTGGAGGGCGCGCAGGACGGGCGCGCCGAGGGTGCCTGTTCCGCCAATGAGGGCGACGTTGGTTATGGTCATGTTTGTGAAGTGTTGGCTGAATTGGGATATAGAGATGTTTGTAGTGTTGTCGAATGTTCGGTGCTCAATGGCTCAAATGTATGTACTGTATTCGTGGATTGACGTAGTCCGAATTCGGGGCGGCGGCTATTGACGCATAGATTCGGCAATTTGTTCGAATTAGTTTAAGTGATGCTTATGTTTCTGCAGCACCATAGGGAATCAGCGCCTTGTCCTACGTCCATGTGTGGAATGGAAGCTATTCTGACATGTACTATGCTCCTGTGAGAATTCGGAACCAATTGATCATCTCTCGTAGCTGGACCTCTGTCACGGACAGATATGATCAAACTGACTACAACGCCTCTGTTTTATGTGTAATAGGAGATATTAGAATCATTCCTTGTAACAAGGGACATTTCTGAATCTGGCATGCAACCATACACGCCTCTGGGTTTGTGTCAAAGCGAGGCGCAAAGCATGGATTATTGAGTAGCGTAGCAGATACATGCTGGATATCAGTAGATCTGGTAATAGTATATATCATTTGACAAAGGATCCGCAATTCGCTATTCAGCTATGGTAGGAGCGCAATAGTATATGGGGCACTCCGTAGCCCTGCTTGAGCTACTAGCACTCATAAGGACGGTTCAAGTCTAACGGCCTGACTTCCCAACATGCGCCTCAACAATTTCTTCTCGATATCTGAATAGACGCTAGCAGTCGTCTAGTGCATCACAGCATTGCTATTGTAGTCTTGTTAATAGTACTTTTTTTGGAAAGGGATAAAGAAGATGAGAAATTACTTCTATTACACATTGATTACTGCTACTACAACTAGAAAGACCTAGATTGATAGTTGTCTTTTTGGTTCCAAGTGTACAATTTAGCGCTAGGAGTGGGTTGGGAAAGTTGCAATGACCAGATTTGCTGCACGTCCCAGTCACGGTGTTTGTCCGAACTCCACACATGCTAGCAGTTGAGACAGTGGCCAGGGATAGAAGAAGGATCCATGGATGGATTGTGTTGGGTATTCTTGGTGAATTTTTAGGTTGGCCGTTTCGGAATTCCTAATAGGTGTGAGATCAAATGTGGATAAGATCGGTAGTCGCCTCCATACTTGCGTCTTTATATATTGATTCCTTATAGTCGCATACGTCAGGGGGCTTACTGCACACCATTTTTAAGATCTTAGTCTACCTCTTGATACGTCGAAATTGTTAAGAAGATCTATCTATCAACACAAGGCACAACTGAAGTCACTTCACATAGCAATACACATTGCGTAGCAAAGGCTTCCTTCCTGTGGGTGCGGGTGTAGCAAAAGCTATTCAATATTTGGTATGATCTTCTTTCGTGCTAACAATGGGCTGATATCTCTTCTCCATCTAATTAAAATACCGAGGCAGCGATGAATTAAAGTCTCCAATCGTCGTATCTTATCTTCGAATACGATATGTATGCTTTTCACAGTATGTAAGCAGCCGATCAATGTCCCCCGGACTACGCACGGTTGGAGCTTCTATGTGGCGCAGAACGAGTAAGCAATACGCCCGTTGCTTATGTTTAGAGTAATACGCCGAATTGCATAGAGATGCTAAATACAACCAAGGTCATTTAAATGAAGTTCTTGTTTCTGTTCAAAAAGATTCACGGAAGTGCGTTACATGTCGCGATGATAGACTGTACTAATGTAGTCAAACGTGTCGACTATGGTTGGCAGCCGTGCATAGTACGACTGAGGATACGTTGACGTTGGATGTGGATAGCGGGATAAAGATAGGATGAAGTGGTCAAAGGTTAAATCGAGTGTTGTCGCGATGAATGTAAAAGATAAAGGTCAGAGTTGGCAGAAAAAGACAAGAATGAGGACCCAGAAAGATAGAGTCATGAGATGAATTTGCTTAGGGATTTGATGGATTCTCCCAACGTCGACAGTCATCTGACAAGCACAATGCTGAAAAGAGTGGGTTCTCAAGCAAGTACCATCATCCGCTAACTTCAGATATAGCCGGTAGATCAACGTCACTACAAACTTGATTCTTCGCGTGATTCTGTCGAATGAGCCTGAATCTGCAAATTGCATATGTGTTGGTCGTGAACCACAACCGCAACGAAAAATGATGAGAAGTTAATCAGTCAGCTGAGAACCATGTAATCATGGTACTGTAAACTCCAACAGATCAAGGGTCACTTGATACGTGGTCTAATTATGGGTTGAAACTAGTGCTAGGCGTGTATATTAAAACAGTCCGATTTGGCCAAGTTGCGAGAAAGACCAAAGCCCAGCGAGTAAGTTCACCAAGAACACAATGCCTAGTTAAACAATATCTGCCCATCTCTAGGAAAAGCGGATAAATATTAATGCATAAAATTCCTGATCACAAAGACATCCTTTCAAATCATGGATAACTACCATTCGTCCCCTACCAATCCCGACAGACGAGCGTACCTGCATCATCCTGCCTCCAGCCCCAACACGAAACCTGTACCAAGGAACTAACGAATGTCTTCTGGAAAAATATAACAAGCATGTAGTTCATGCACCATCATCTCCATGTAATCATAAGCGATCAAAAGGGTCCCCCGCGCCATGAACCCCTGCCATCCCATTCCCCGGGACCATCCCTACCCACAACAACAACCCCGAACACCAGGGACCATCCCATCCCACAACCATCTATACCCTCATCCCGCCCTGCCCTGTCCAGCCCTCTGCGCCACAAAACAGTACTTTGAAACTTAACACCAGCTCATTATACACCCTCTAGTCCGTCTCCTAAAACCCACATCTACTTTCCGCTTTTCGCCAAAACTTACCTGCTCCTTCCCTATTTCCCCATCTTATAGCGACGATCCCATCCTCTTCCGGGTGCTTATACCGTTTGCTTAAGGGGTCTGGCTATAGTCGATGCTCCTTCCCATATTAAACACCTTGAAAGTATGATAGCGGAGGGGTAGTTGCAAGCGAACAAGGAACACACTTGTAGCTTATTCATTGGCAATTTTGTGATTTTTGTCGCGAAAGAGTCAGTTGCACCGCGTCGTAGACGCATTCAACTCGCAAAAAAAAAGGGAACATGGTAGTTAAAAAAAACACGAAACATGAGCTTGAAATTACTTTAAGCGGACACGTCGTTCGGACCGAAACCGCACAAACATGATAAAAAAGTACCAAGGGTGTGGAAAGAAGGAAAAGCAAAAAAGGTGATGAGGAGATGGTGAGCCGGGGGGGAGGGGGGAATACGAAGAAGCGCGTATGTCACAGACAGATAGCATACGTATGGTTTGCGTGGTGAGATGCAAACACAACACGAGATCGTCACGCCATCTTACGATGTCGTACGCACAGCGCGCGCACCACAAGGCAAGACACACACACCACCATCCACACCACCATCGCTAGCCCTACGGTACGCGCACGGGCCAAGTGACCGAATGTGGGACTTTTTTTTGCCCGGCAGTTTGGGAATTTGGGCGGAGGGGACAAGCAGATATATCTTGGCTGTGGGGAAATATGTTGAGATATATAGGTTAAGAGAGAGACTCTTACTTTGCACTTTTTGTTTCATGCAATATAGAAGAGAGAGAGAGAGAGGACGTGTGGATTCGACCAACATTGTTTCTTTGGATTGAAACTCGGAGCAAATACGTACAAGTACACAAGCACGACTGCCTATTATACCGGGATAGACTTTCTGGTTGCAACAACAACAACAACAAGTTGGGGGAGAAACCATAAGAGAAGGGCAAAACAACAGAGTTTGACCTTTTCAGACAACGTACACACATATACAGGGAATGGCGACACTACAGAGTCATCGGCCGATGCAGCATGTGGATCGGAGGGAGCTGTATACCAGTCTCGAGGCACGGATACAATACCTGCACTCGTTTCTCGACTTTAGTTCACGTACGCTTACACTCTCTCACCCCAACAAAAAAAAAGAGAAACTTTGAAGAGAGCGAAGAGGAGAAAAGACTAACTTTAAAAAATGCAGGCGACATGGAAGCCCTGACGAGCGGGGCCAAGTACATCAAAGCGCTCATCCCCGCCGTAGTCAACATTGTGTATAAGAAGCTTCTGCAGTACGACATCACAGCACGAGCGTTTGAAACGCGATCGACATCATACCAGGGGCGAGTGGACGTCAGCAACCTCGACGAGAACTCGCCGCAGATTCTGTACCGCAAAATGTTCCTGCGGGGCTACCTAAACAAGCTGTGCAGCGACCCATCGACCATGGAGTTTTGGGAGTACCTGGACAAAGTAGGCATGATGCACGTGGGGCAAGGGCGGGCGCATCCGCTGCACGTCGAATACGTGCACATTGGCGTGACGCTGTCGCTCGTTCAAGACATCATCACGGAAGCGGTGCTGTCGCACCCACGGCTGAAGATGGAGCGCAAGATTGCGCTTGTGAAAGCGCTGAGCAAGGTGATTTGGATCCAGAACGATCTGTTTGCCAAGTGGTATGTTCGCGACGGCGACGAGTTTGCAGAGGAGCGATTGGTGCCCGAGGTTGAGCCTGAAGGCTATCTGCACGGCAAACCTGTCTTGCGCGAGGGCAGCAGCGAGCGCGAGAGTGAGATTGAAGAGGCCGACATGGCGGCGGGTTCGTGTCCGTTTAAGAATTTGGCAGGCAGACCGAGTCTGGGGAAGGATCATCAGGATGCGCAGTATGGGGAAATCGTGATAGATACCGCAGAGGCGCCGAGGGCTGCAGCGTCGACGACATCACCAGGCATGAGGGGGTTTGTGCAGAGCGCCATGGCACGGGCGGTGGGAAGTAGCGCTTGACGGGCGAGCGAGCGAAGGGGTGGGGTTGATGTTCTTACTGTAGATACTATGCAATTCTAATCATGTTATTTTGTTGTTGACTATTTTCAGTGGGGGCGTGTGTTGTGTGGCGGTGTTGATTGGGAGCGGTTGCCGGGATGGATACTGTGATGGTCCATGCACGGGTCAAACCGGAGGCGGAGAAACAGCCGCCGCCCCGAGAGCCGCGATCGGCTTGTCGTGATGGATGCCCTCGCCATCGCCGTAGCCCATGTCAGGTTGGCACGACGAATTTTGCCCAGCACACAGTCAGCCTTTTCTGTGAACATACATTTTAAGTACAAACTCTATATGCACATGCTGCAATGCTAACGTCCATGTCGTCTGCTGCAGTTTTTGCATGATGCATGATGAGGGGGCAGGACAATCACATGACGCGGCATTGTGGTGAGAGGCAGAGCAGATGTGATGGTGTTGAGGGTGTTTCAGGCTAGGGCGGGTAGTTGTGTGGAGAGGACCAGTACCAAGCACCAGTACCAGCACCAGTACCAGCACCAGCACCAGCACCATGGAGCGGGCCTTGTATAGTAGGAGACTAGGTGTGCGAGTACTACATCCTATCGTATAGAGACTCTAGTAGGCCTCACCGGACTCAGCCTGCAGCCCTGGCACCATGCTGCGCCTTGTCTCTCGGGCAACTAGGCAGATGTATCGTCTCCAAAACAGTGCACCCTGCCGATCCACTGACGATCCGACACTTCCGTCCAGGATGGGTAAGCAGAGAAGGCTGTCGGTACCGACTTCATAGATGCACATGGAAAGCAGAAAAGGCACATGGCAGCGCATACTGTAATAAAGTCCCGCGGGCCATGACATGACGCTGCTGAGACGCAACTTGAGTCGTTGGACGTTTGCTGGCAGCGACTCAGCCGACGCGCGCCCTTGGCTCGGTGAGCGACTTGGCCGTGGATCCGTCGCACTCGCTCGCTCCATCCATTTGGCCCATGTAGTGTATATCGGGGCACGCGGACTGGAGCACAAAAGTAAATGTCTAGTGGGCGTGCAGTGGCCACCAGTGAGGCAGCGGGGAGGCGTGGTCGAGTGGCCAGCGTAGGTTGGACTTTTTACTTTGTTCTTTTTGCGGCTGCGTTTTGCTATCGCCGGATTGCCTGCTTTTCTGAGACCACAGCAACTGCAACATCCACGCCAGGCCCCAAATGGGCAGCCAGACTGGGGTCCCCCTGCTAGCGTCGCTTGGTGCAGCCCAAACCTGCGGAAACGCTCTCATTACTTGCCCCGTCGTGTCTGTGTCCGTGTCTGCCTTCGCCGCCGCCCTCCCCCCAGACCTTCGTTGTCACTGTCGCCCTTCATCACAACATCATCGCCGCCTGGCACCTCACACCCCCCCTCCCCACCACAACCCCCTTCTCACCCTTTCTCTCCCCTTCCCCCCCACCATCACCACCACCACAACGCCTCACCGCGGCTTCTTGTAGCACTCACCCTCTGTAATCCCCCTCGACGCCTCCTGGATCCACGGCTTCTGCCCGCCCCCCAGACTGTCGTCGTGCTGGTGCGCCTGTTTTCTTCCTTATCAAGTGGCCCGATCAGCGCGCTTCTTGCCCTCCACGTCATCATCGCAACGGCTTAACTGCTGGTTGCTTCTCTTCCTGCACTCCTTCGCACACTGTTCAAATCCCCATAACCCCTTTTTAATATCCCCCCGTCTTTCCCGCGCAAGTGCTGCCTCCGACTCTGCACGCCCGCTGCTGCGACTGCTGCAACGTCATCTCGCAGCTCCACTAGCTCCCCAACTTCGATGCACACGCCCCTCACAACGACAGATGACCTCTGTTGCTTTTAGGCTTTCTCCTCTCTCACAATGCAGTCCATGTTCCGCCTCCCATGGTGTAACGAGTCGCCTGGCGACAAAATCATGGAAAAGTCTGCCCTGCACAAGCAGAGGCCGCTGCCCGTCGTCGACATGCCAGCCTTTATGAGCAAGATCAAGCGGAAAAGGACAGACAGTCCTGAGCCCTCGCCCGCGCACCACGCGCATGTAGTAAAGAAGTGGAAAGATGCTCACGGTGACATGAAGCCGTCGGTGCAAAGTGCACCTGCTGCTGCCTCTGCCTCTGCTTCTGCCCACGTTCCCGACGCCAGGCCAAAGGCGCTGCCTGCAACCAAGGAGAGCAAGAGCAAGCCCTCAGCCCCTCAGCAACAGCCTGCTCAACCAAACTCCACCACCACGCCTGCATCCACTACCACCACCTCCATGGACTCTGGTCTAACCCCTGTGCAGCAAGCTATTGAGGCTCAAATCAATTACGAGATCTTGCTCAAGCACAACGAACTCCGTTTGATTGAACAGGAGCTAGCCAAATGCCAAGTATCCCTAGAGCAACTCAGGCGCTGCTCTCTCATTCCTTTCCCAGGCACCGAGGGTCTCGATGTCAATGTCAGCCTCGGCGTAGGTCCGTCTTTGCAGCCAAGTGCAGGCTACACTCAGCCCCAGTATGCTGCGCCTTGGGGAGTCACTGACGGTCCTTACACTCGCCACTACGCAAAATGGCTCATCTCGGACGTCAAGTTTGATCCCGTCTCCGAGCGTGCGCTCGCTCAGCAGGCTCAAGGTTACTTCGGCACTGGTGAGGGCAGGACGACGCGCGGCAGTTTTGCTGACTACGGCTCAGCTCACAGAGGCCGCACGTCGCGAACTTCGACTGGAATGTTGAAGCTCACCCCTCTTGGTGAAACTCCAGCACCAGCGCCAAAGATAGATCCTTTGTTGCACAAGCGATCCACCGACGGCCAGTGGGTGCGCCTCTATTGTGCTCAGTGCGGCCACAGCAACTTTTCAAACACTCAGGGCTTCCTCAACCACTGCCGTATCAAGCACAACCAAGTCTTCAAGAGCCACGATGCTGCAGCTATTGCCTGTGGTGTACCTGTCGAATCCAATGACGGCGCGAATCCTGTTACTGCGAGTGAACCTGCCAGCATGCCTGCGGCAACGCCGGCAGTGTCATTTCCTACCCCGGCTACTTCTGGTATCGTTCACCCGCTCGCGTCTCAGGCCGTACCCGTTGCACACGCTCCACAAGTGCACCGTCAGTTGAATGCTCCATCGTCCAACAAGTCCAAATCTGCCCCGCCTCCTAGCTTTATCAAGACATCCTCAACCCCTTACCTGGCAGCCCGTTTCCAAAACAGCGGTGCTCAAGGTGACTTCAAGGAGATTCTGGAGACGGCCCGGTCCAAGATTGATCTGGATGCGATAGACACCTCGGATGACGACAGTGCAGACACTAGTGTTGCGTTGACCCCGGTAACAAGCGTTGCTCCCCACCTAGCCCGTCTTCCTGCTAGTGCTCCTGCAAGCAAAACTCCTGCAAGGGCAGGCAGTAAGAAAGGTTCTCATCCAAGCCATGCACGCCTTCCCATGTCTCTCCCATCTCCCATCAAGCCTCAAGGACACAATGACATGCCACGCTCGCCCGCAGACTTCAGCCCTCACACAGTCGAGTCTAACCCGGGTCTAGTCAGCGATCATGATGACGATGATGATGACGATGCGGACGATGCGCACAGCCAACCTGACCTTGCTCTTGACACTCACGTCATGGTCGAAGACTCGAGCGACGTTGAAGGTGTGCAAGAACGTAGGGGCTCTCGGCAAGGATTGCACGGGTGTTTTGAAAAGGGCGAGGGCAGTCGTAAGCATTAAGCAGGACGAGCGAGTTAGGTCCGGCTTGTCCTGTTAATGTTTCCTTGTCCATCACTCCCTTTCCCCCAATAATGCCCATGTCCTTGAACGATGTTATTCTTCTCTTTTTCCTCTCTTTTTTTCTTCATTATACTCGGGTGCCAGCAATGGACATGGAGGTCCGCTGGTCAGGACAGTGGAATTGTTCTGCTTTTAGTCTGTTTTTGCATTGCTCTGTCTTTTTATGTTTTGTTCTCATGATTCAACAAAATCAGTCAGACATCTCATCTCACGCGCGCCTCCCGAGGTGTTGAGTTAAGGCGCTGGAAACGTCGTGTATTATCATCCCCTGTATGGAACAATTGGTGTTCTTGGTTGGAAACTTGCTGTTGGGGTGGTTTAGATGGATTTCGGGGTGGTTTAGATGGATTTCGGGGTGCTGGTACACTTTTTTTTGCTTTTGTGCTCCCCAATACACGGTCGACTTTCGAACGGGTTAGCAAAAGTCTGCGAGTGTGAAATCTCGCTTGCCCTGTATATATTTTAATCTCATGACGCTCTGCACTTTAGACTTGGTTTTTATGAGGTGTTGTGACTTGAGTTTTGTACGTTGGTGTTTGTGCCGAGAGATGACATGTGTTTTTTTGGAGATGATGCCACGATATGCTCTTTATATTATATCAAAATACTTCCCCCACAACGCCTCGCTTTCAAAAAAAAAACGCCCATGGTGGCTGTCACCTTACTGTTCAAGAATATAGCGTACCATCCCACTTGACACAGAAAGTCTACATTATCCCATGAACTCGAGCGTCTGTTTTGACGTCAGTCGTTGGACTTTCCTCTCCTTGAACACACCAACTCTTGCCCCATCGCACACTCACATCGTGAATCAAAAAAAGGTAGGAAGGAAGGAAGAAAGAAAGAAAGAAAGAGAGGAGAAAAGCAAGACTCACAGCCATGACCACACACGCAATACTAACATACGGACTCAACCTCTCCCCGACCCTCGCCGCCTTCCACAACGGCGACACAATCCAGTTTTCCTTGTTGCGATCGATTATGCCCGGGAACACCGAGTGTGCGTATGTCGAGGTGCAGATTGTGAGGAGGATGACGAGAAGGAGGGATTGGAAGTTGAAGAGGGCGGTCTGTTAGGTGTGTTAACTTGAGGTTGCTGAGGACTGAGAGGGGGGGGGTGGGATAGTTACCATGATCGTTGATGCGCTAAGGATGTTGTTTTGTACTGATTTGTATGTATTTGTGTGGTGAGAGAGAGAGAGAAAGAGAGAAAGAGGAAAAAAAAGGGGGGCTAGGGGAGTGCAAGTAGTGAAGTTGTGGTTTAATTTTACTTTGTGTCGCATGTAGTGTACAACAGGTTAAACATGTGGTGGGTGTTGGTTTCCCGCGGCGGACAGAGAGGGACGGAGGGAAGAGGGCCAGTGCGCACTGCTGACCCACACCCCCTTCGATCGTCATTGCAAGGTTGGGGCTGGGCGCTGCGCCTGCTGGCTTTTGATTCCTACGACTGAACAATAGATATCGCGGTGATAAGTGGTACTTGTGTAACGCAAACTATTACTTGAACGCGGAATAAAGATACACAGCACTATCCCGACGCGCCAGATACAAAACTCATCCAACGCCGCCGCTGCCGCTGCCGTCGTCGTCGTCGTTCGCTTTCGCGCGCTCGCTCTTTCGTCGCAAACATGACGGAACCGCGTATGCGCCTACGCCAAAAAGGCCAGCAATTCCCAACACAAGACTGTACGTCTTTCCTTTTCCTTCCCTTCCCTGCCTCCTCCCCTCCCTCCCTCCAAAAAAAATAACCCCTCCTAAATTCTGACCATATAAAAAACAGTAGAAGCCTTCCTCCTCGCCTTCGGCGACAACGACTATCCCCTCCCGGAAACCGTCCGCGTCCTCGACGAAATAATAACAGACTACATCATCGAAACATGCCACGAAGCCGCGTCGGTGGCGCACCACGCGCGGCGCGCGAAGATCAAACTTGACGATTTTAAATTCATGCTGCGCAGGGATACGGGGAAGCTGGGCAGGGTGAGTGAAATGCTGGAGACGGATAAGGAGTTGAAGCGGAAGAGGAAGGCGTTTGATACGGATGAGGGGGCGGTGCTGGCGGATAAGGAGAGGGCTGGAGAGAGGGTGGTGGAGGGAGGGAAGGAGGGGGTGGATGGGGGGGAGAAGGGGAGGGGGAAGGAGGAGGATGAGAGGAGGAGGAAGAAGAAGAAGAAGAGGAGGGAGGAGGAGGGCGTGGGGAAGAGTGCGTGATGGGTTTGAGTGCCGGTGGTCCTGTATTGCTGTAAAAGAAAAAGAGAGCGGCAGAGAGTGAATGGAGATTGTGCGTTATGGGATGCATGGGCGATTAGTATACGGAATAAGGATACCCCAAAGAAGAATGAAATTGAATCATTGCCAATTCATCATGTGTCAATTGTTGATAAGTATGCACAGCTCACCATGCTAGCATCCTTCTTTATTCCTATGTACGGCTATACATCCCTCACCATACAACACTCACCAAGCAACACAATGGTACATACATATAATTCAGCAGGTCAAAATATCTGGCATTCCACGTTCCAACATACGCCTCAGCGTAGTGATAATTCTAACCACCGCGGCCGTGTCAAACAAAACTACTAGGTATACAGCGCTTTTACTAGGCAAAGGCTTTTTCTGTTGAACAGGAGCAGGCGGCCTGCAGCTCGACCACCTAAACATCTTCATCGTCGTCATCATCATCATTTGTCATGGCTGCAATGATGCCTTGAATCCACGGGTTTCCACGTTTCCAAGATCCGCCCGCATTCCTGATGCTGAATCTATCAACCATTTAGAAACGGGCATTCCCACGCCCTCTGTTGCTAGAGGCTTGACTCCGTCTAGAATAACGTGTTAGCCAAACGCCAAACTCCTTGCAATGTATCCCTTTTTTAGGCACGCTCATGCCTCTTGTTCCCTCTGCTGCCTTCCCTTGCCTCCGCCTCGTCGGTCACCTCCCTTGCCCCTGTTTTCACCGTCCTTCTTGCCTTCACCGCCAAGAACATCACCACCGCCCATGGTCAGCGCTGCTGTTGCCAGACGGTTGGAGAGGTCGATTTGTGTGCGGATTGTGTTTGCGAGGTATGATACCACAAGGACATCCTGGATGTGTGCGTTGCTGCTACATGTTAGCAAAGCCAGATATCACTAAAAAAAAACTGTATCTCAACGTACAAGTCGCGCTCAATGTCAGCAGGCTCAACCTTGGGTGCTAAGCTGAGTGCGTTCATCAGGAACTGGCCCAGTGCGGATGAAGGCTCGGCCTCTTCGTCCAGAACATTGTTAACGTAAGTGGACACGCGCTCAAGCATGTCAAGGACATGTTGGATGGCACGCTCCAATGAATCCAGGTCGGTCATGACCTCCTGTGACCGGTTCTCGCTGTCCTTTGCGGAGGAGATGAGCTCCAGACCTGACCTCTCGGCCTCGCCGTACTTGATCTCGTGGGGTACTGGGATGAACAGGCAAGAGTCGGCCGCGCGCTCGGCAGTGACACCAATGGGTGCGGAGATGTATGTCTTGGATTCAATGTCCTGGCCTGGGACAGTCGAGACAGTCAGATGAACGGCGGGGTGTGGCCATGTTCCGTCGCCCTGTTGGCTGTAGAAGTTCTGGATGAGGGCGGAGAAGGTGTTGAGGTCGCTGCTGGTTGCGTACCAGCCGACGAGGACTTCGCGGGGGTTGGCGCGGAGGTGGAGGGCAAGCATCTGCTTCTGGTAGTCCATGTCGACCTCGACCTGCTCGGCCGTCTCGGTGTGGGGGACAGCATAGCAGTTGCGGATCTCAATCTCAGTGCCGTCTTCGCTGCGGGTGCCGAGGAGGGTACCAATGACGCGTTCCTGGTCGGCGGGGCGGCGGAGGGCATGGTCAAGGATGGAGAAGACGGCCTGTTCACAGCGGGTCAGAGAGCGAAGCTGGCAGCCTCTCACTGCAGTAGTCGCATACCTGGGGCTGGATGGCGACGTTCAGCGGGGCAGTCGATGGCTGGGCACCCAGAGGCGCAGGGCCGAGGGGACGCGCGAGATGGAGGAAAGAGTCGTTCTCAGCCATGATAGCGATTGTGGTCTGGGCGGCGGTGATCGTGGACGTAGTCGTGGTGTTGAGACGCTGGCGGCTATCAAAGATGACAATGTGGTTGGTGGGGCACGTCGATATTCTTCACGAAATCTGGGCAGGTGCGGCAGTTCGCTTGCACGGGCCATGTCGATATATTTTCTGGCGGGACCCTTGAACTACAGGCGCATCCAACTGACGCGCTATAGCGACTCGGAAAATTTAATTGCTGCGCAACACCAGGGCTACTTTAGGGGTGCAAAGTAGCTGTTCATATTGAAATCTTTCCAGGCGCTGGGAATTCTGCTATTCATCTCAATAAAAACCAGGCGCATTCAAGAAGCGCGCGCATAACGACTATGGCGCCCGTTAGAGGCCGCGGTGGTTTCCGGGGTAGGGGACGAGGCAGAGGTGGCGCAAGAGGAAGAGGAAGAGGCGGCGGAAGAGGTGGTTTCGCTGCTGCAAGGACCGCTGACGAGATTGAAGATTCGTGAGTACGGATATTTGTTACAGAGAGGGTCGTCTAGATGCTAACTGTCAAATGAAGCAATGTCAACATGCGTGCACCATCCGACTCTGAACATAGCGAATCTGAAGGCTCCGAAAGCAATGCTTCCGACGACGATGACGAGGAGGAGGAAGAGGCTCAGCCAGCCGCCAACGCCTATGCAGCTCTCCTCCAATCGTTCTCCGCCCGCGATACTGGCTCAGATGAACCCCGGAAAAAGAGGCGAAAGATTGAGCACGATCATAAACCAGAACAGGCCGCTGCCACAGATACAGACCAATTGGAAGACGCAGAAGCCAATGCGACCGATCGCGAGGACGAGGCAGAGCAGGGCGATTCCGACAACGACCAAGCAGACGGAGATGATATCAAGGAACAGGAGTTGGAAAAGGCCTACGAGAAACACTTTGCAAATCCAGACGAGAACGAATTGGCACCACGGCTGAAACGGATAGCGGCAAACCAATGGTCATCGCACAAGCTGCGCACGACATCAGGCAGCGCAAAGGGTTTTGGCATTCTCCAAGTCCCGAGCGACGAGGTCCAGCCACCCTCGAGGAAAGTGAAGAGCACTCGCGACGTCCAGTTGAAGGCCCGATTGGTGGAGAATGCGCATAAGAAAGTCGGAGACTTTGACCCTGTCGAACAAACCATTGCGCTGTCCCTGTTTGGCTACCAAGACTTGCTGTTTGGTGCGCGAACAGTACAAAACGCTAACCGCCTTCGAGATATCACCTGTCTCCATGCGCTAAATCATATTCTCATGACACGCGATTGTATACTTAAGAATAACGCAAAGCTGGCAGCTGCAAGCGACGACGATGATGCCGAATACCGCGATCAGGGCTTTACGCGCCCCAAGATACTGTTCCTTCTTGAGACCAAACAGGCCTGTGTGCGCGTCTTGGATTCCATCACCAAACTCTACGATTTTGAACAGCAAGAAAACAAGAAGCGATTTCTCGACAGCTTTTCACTGCCAGAAGACAAGTTTTCAGACGACAAGCCCACAGATTTCCGCCAACTATTCGAAGGCAACGACGAAAATGAGTTCCGCATCGGCATCAAGCTGACACGCAAGACGCTGAAGTTGTTCTCAACTTTCTACAATTCCGACATCATCTTTGCCTCTACTCTCGGTCTGCGTCGAGCAATCGAGTCTGGCGATCCCAAGAAGCGAGATTACGATTTCCTATCATCCATTGAGATGGTAATTATGGAACAAGCCGATGCTACCCTGATGCAGAACTGGGATCACACAGAGTTTGTTTTTGAGCACCTGAATCTTCAGCCAAAAGATTCCCACGGCTGCGACTTTTCACGGGTGCGCTCGTGGTACTTGGACGGACACGCACCGCACATTCGACAGACCATTGTGCTCTCGGCGTTCCTGACACCAAAGATCAATACTCTGTACAACAAGCATATGCGTAACGTAGCCGGGCGCTTAAAGTACACTGCCGATAACACGGACGGTCTCATAGAAACAATGTCGTACGGCGTGAAGCAGACGTTCCTGCGCTTCGACTCACCATCTCATCTTACTGATCCAGATGCACGCTTTAAATACTTCAACACATCCATCCTGCCATCGATCAACCGCATGCCGAGGCCGCCAGAGGGAGGGTTGGGTGTTTTGGTCTTCATTCCATCTTACCTGGACTTTGTCCGCGTGCGCAACTCGCTCGTCGACTCGGACTTTTCCTATGCCTCAATCAGCGAATATACCGATGTGACCGACGTGCGTAAAGCCCGCTCACACTTTATGAACGGAAAGCATTCGCTGTTACTGTACACGGGCCGTGCCCACCATTTCCACCGTTACAAGATTCGAGGTGTTAAACGGGTCGTGTTCTACGGCGTGCCGGAGAACCCGATATTTTATGACGAAGTGGTAGGCTTCATTGGCAAGACGCTGGAACGGGCTGAAATTAGCAGGGCAGAAGCCAGTGTCAGAGTGTGCTTCTCGAAATGGGAAAAGATGGAACTGGAAAGGATTGTTGGCACAAAGAGAGTGGGCAAGATGGTTGCAGATAGGGGTGATGTGTTTGACTTTGTATAAACATGTATGATCTAAAATAGAAGGGGGACACTTGGAATTGGCTCACATGGTATCAGCGCTCTTATTGATGGGGTACAGTGAATTTGTACTGAATATACGATTTCATCATCGCACTCACTACCACTTCTTATGCCTATGCTGCCTACCTGAATGAACCCAAGACACGTGCTTCACCTGAGCGTGACACCTATCTGTGCACACATAATGAAAGTTACGTTTGACACTGATCTCAAAATCACCTGGCTGTTTGTAGCTGCTAAAGCGTGAATTCTACATTGGTCACTCGCTCGTGCCTTACCTTCACTTTCACCCAGTCAGGGTCTGTGTGTACTTAAGTAGACTCATCTTTCCTCCAACCATCGCTCTACACACGGGTAAGCTTTAAAGTAGCAGCAAAATTAGTCTACTCTCATCGTTCGACTTCAAGATGAAGCTTCAGTTCGTCTTTGCTGTATTGATAGCCACCCTCGCCAGCGCTGGCGCCATTGTGTCTCCGAGACCATCACCTGAAAACGTCACCCATGTCAACGTCACTCTCGCCGATGTTGCCTCTATTGATTTGGGCTCTTCCTCTATAGCTCATGCTCTTGCTGAACCAACCAAATTCGAAAAGTCTGCTGAAATCGGGCGTACGCTCGATGCGGCTATGAAGTCCAAAGACAGCATCGCGCGATGGTTCTTCAAGGACTTTCCCAACTTTCAAGAGACATGCCAGAGTCCCTTCGACGGTGATGGGCGGGAAGATCTGGCGAGATGGGGCTTCGACGACAGCGAGAAGTTGAGGAAAGAGGTTGAAAAGGAGTGCGACTTTGACGCGTATCATGGTATTAAGCCTGCTTTTGATGAGCTAGGCTTAGACACCAAGGCAGAGAAAGACGGTGGTTCTAACAAGTGTTTCAAGATCAATCATCGTGACGGTCCTGCTATCAAAAGGCTCCCGGATGGTTCTCTCCCTCTAGAAGCAAACCAGTACTACGATGTGTGTGGCAGAGAGTATAGGGCAAGTGTTTGCAGATCACACTACTCAACAAGACTATTGCTGACTGAGATTTCATGCAGGCAACAGGTGCTACATACGAGTTCGCCGTTAATCCAAACGGACTCGTCGTTCTCATGAACATTATGAGCTTGAGTTTCTGCGCCGAAAAGTTCACCTGGTTCCGAAAGCCACTTCCCGAAGAGCTGCCTCATATCGGCACACCCTCAGATATAGCATGGGCTGTCTGGAACCGAGCTGGTGCTTCCAACATCGCTGATGTCAAATACCTCCTTGTGACACAGATTATGAACCCAACTTCTCGAGATATGATCAGAACAGCGCTTGGAACACTACAGCCTCCTCAGAGTGAGACCCAAGTTTGGCCGGGCAGTGACTTTACCATGGATACGGTTGGGGGCAGAGCAATCTTGGGTTAGTAGTCCGTATAGCACTAAAATTATTGGCAGTTGGATTTTGATGCTGACTTGATGGACTAGGGTCGCCGATTGGACGATGGGTCGGATACTTCCTCTTACAGCATAAGAAGCAACTCGGTGGCAATCGATTCATTTCAAAGGTCAGAGCCTTTCGGCCCAGCACCGCTTCTCTACCGTATCTCGTCTTCTATGTAGATCCCACGCCAGCTGGACCTGGTTCAGCTGCGGAGGTAGTGCCTAGTGAACTAGCAGAACTTGAGGGCACCCTCGAGAGAATCGGAGAGTCTGATGGTACGAAGTCATCACATGTTGCAAAAAGGAGTGTTGACGGAAAGCACTTGGTGCGAAAGCATATTTTCTATACTGTGACTTGGACAACGAAGTCCGAGGAAGATGTCATGAACTTTGGATTTTGATGTGATAAGGCAATATGACCGGCTTCAAGATTCGTCCGGTGGAGAATACATATTCCAGAAATTATGGTGGCTGGGCTGCTTCCTAAGAGCAATCACCAATACTGACTAAGACATGCATGTGGCTTTTAACTAGGCTAGAATGTACTCACTACCTGCATATGTGTTTATCTGCTCGTATTATACATGTCCCGATGGCCGGGGCAGATGACTGTATCAAGCCAAGCGCAGTCCCACGGCACGAACGGGTGCAGGTCGCGTTGAACGTGATCTCATGGAAGCCAGTGTCCTGCGAGGGTTGAGGTTATGCGGGGATATCGTCATGAAAAATGGTGAAAAGCTAGGAGAGAAATCAAGGCACATGCTGCCGCCAACGCGATCTAGTCATGTCCATGTCCCACACAGCATTGTACCTGCGTCGCTTGCCCACCCAGCATCGTGATCTAGACGTATGTGTATGCCAAAAGGCGAATCGTGGCGGGATAAACGGCAGAACCTGAGCGGTCCGTAGGACTTGGCAATATTTGCACGGTGGTTCCGGCTCCTTCCTTCGCGGGGTACCGTGACGTTCTTTTGCCAACCAAACTTAGCCACCAACTCCACGACCATTCCACTCACACACTGCCAAAAGAGACCTTCGATAGGGCCTTTCTGCTATCCCCATTTATGACTCCACGTTGAAGCACCGAGGGGTCGGGGTTGATTTGCCGAGTGTGCGGTGAAGGGCCACGTCGGAATGGCTGGGGCGCTTTCTTTAACGCCAGACTCCACCCGCAAGGTAGGCGCAAAACACGTCTCGCCAAGAGTACGCCTCATCCCTTCTTGGCCATGTCCAATGGCTCGCGCCCGTCCGGCATACTCATGGTTCCAGTGTAGCGCTACACTGCGCTGACACGGCCAAGTACCTCAATGAGCGGATCGTGGCGGTGTGCCGAGCCCCAGACAAGCTTTTCTGTCCTCCGTTTTTGGGCGTCGATATGGCTGCGAGCAGGAAACCCGAGTCGAGCCTGTCGCTCTTATTTTAGCTACGTGGTACCCGTGCCCTTGCGAGCTACCGTACATACCTGCCTTCTTTTTTGACACCTTGGAACTTGGATTACTCTTCTGCATTGCTATCGTTGCCTGCACGCCTGTGCCAGGTCCGATTCTTGCGCATCTACGCCAACATGTTGCGATTCGACATTATTCTCAAGTTGGCTTTGGTACCGTCGATACTCTACCTGCTCATATCTGTGGTTTCGGTGGCTTTGACAACCCACTACTGGATCCTAACCGACTGGGTTGTATCGCGAGGCGTTCTCGTTAAGACCTCCGAATTCGATGAGCGAGCAAGGCAGTTTGTGACGGATGCGACAATTGTGTACTTTACCGACGCAGATACCGATGCGACAATTGTATCGGGATGCCTAAACTTGGCCGCGGCCGTTATCGCCATTATCGCGTGGAGTACCTTGCGAAAACCAGGAATGGACGCCTTGATTAACTCGGTTGGTATATCGGTTCTTACACGGAAACAGTAGAAACCTAACTTTCATGCCTAGACTGTACGCCGTTTCTGGATACTCAGTCTTGTCTTCATGTCCCTTGCTGGAGCGGTCATGGCCATCGTATCGCTCGCACTACACTACACGAAACTGGGCAACGACCGATGGGGATGCACCCAGGAGCGACTGATGATGAGTGGAAAAATGAATACAAACGTGTACTGTACCCGAGAAATGGCCGCATGCCGATTTCAACCCGAATTTGTCACTGGTCGGGATAAGCAGAATGCTAGCGTTGCTTGCAACGAAGCTGTAAGTTCCTTATCATCACATGTTGCGAAATGCTTTTTTACTAACATCAGAGCAGACTGTAGTCAAGTGGATGCAAATCATCTTGCTGCTTCTCGGGCTTACTGTACTATCCATGTTTTCCCTCCAGGCTTACCTGCGCCGAACCAGCAGGGAGACTAGACTAATGGGACAAGGAGCCCTTACAGAGAAGATTTGAAGCGAGCAGATTTCCCGGACTATAGACGACACATGATTTTCCACGCAGTCAACGAATTTCCTTGCACCACATCATTCTTGGCGTTTGTTTTTCTTTCTTAGCATGCATATGCATGGCACGACACTGCATCAACTTGGGCGTTGGCATCCCCCCTCCCTCACAAGTGGGCCATTTGCGATACACGACGTAACGAAATTTTAAAGTGCGCGATAATGGTATGATGAAGCTGTACTGGAATGGAAGTTGGCAGAAGCTACATGCCTGTCACTCTTCTTTCTGGTTCTAAATAAACTTTGATTGAACAAACTAGACGTTTAGCTCTCTTCCCCCCCTCCCCTGCAAAAGTGTAGTTCCATGTCAGAATCATGCTGGAAATCCCGACAATACCATGACACCTTCACAAAGGCGTATCTGCGTATCTTTTCTCCACACACCCACACCCACAACCCGGAACGTAGATCCCGCCCATCATCCCCAACTCCAATCACAAATCGTGGCGTTCCACATACATACATAGATGGCGAAATCCACATTCCCATCGCCTTCCTTCTGCCTTGGAAATTCCCTCATCCCACTCCTTCTGCACTTACTAACGCTAAGCGGTTTAACGGCCATTTTTTTGTTTCCGCGGCGAGTAGTAAAAGGCACGCTTGGGCGTAGTGGCTTCCCACTCGTCTGCCAACCCACACCCCCTTTTGGGGGTTTCTGGAGAGGGTGGCTTGGCAGACGTCATGGGGGGACGTCATTGGGTTTTGGTGCGATGGGAGTGCGAGTAGGAGTGGGAGTGGGAAGTCTAACGGATATGGGGTTTAGGGAATTTGGGATTGGGTAGAGCGGAGTTGAGCGGTGATGGTCGGGTAAGACGGAGGGTAGTGGTTGGGTTTAGGGATGAATGAGTTTGGAAGAAACTAGGTAATCGTTTTAGAGTACTGAGGTGGTACTTTGAGGATTATGTGGTATTGAGAATTTCTGCATTCGGATTAGAAATGCCGAATGCTTATGGCGGTGCACTAGAGCGGACAAATAGTACTAGGGATTTCAATCCATACGTAGAAACGTCTTGAGCGGCGGCTTTGTGATGCATGCCACAGAGAGACTAACAGTGCAACAATCGACCTGCAGTCTTTGATATTTCGGATAGTTGCCAGTAGGAGCGTCTGAAAGCTGAATATGGCAGTACAAAAAATTGTAGCTGTGTGAGTTATTATGGGATCGATTTTGACTATCGATGTTTACCATGACATCCCCAGGGACGTTCTGAAAGATGGCTTTGTACGACCGATGCGGAGTATTTGTTCAACCTCCAAGACTCATGCGGATATAAATACCATCAGTGATGAGTGAATCATGGTGGGTCAAAAGTATCCAGGCATGAACGATGAAGATGAGAGAGCTCAGTGATGTTAGCAGTATCATAACTGCCATCAACACGTAGACCACGCAGCTGTTTGTTTACATACTGAAGCCGCTCCTTCCTATCACAAAGTACGTGCCTTGCGCACTGTATGCCTCCACGTTCTAATCCTCAACCTCCCAGAAACTCCCATTTCCGTTCAACACCACGAAATGGCGCCCAGCATTGCCTACCCCGGCTTATATGCTGAAGTCACTGTTGACGGGTGCCGGCTGACAGAGTACGACGACGGCGAAGATGCACGCTCTAAAACTAAAACAGTTTACATCCAGTCAGAAGCAGGCGAGCAGTTTGGCGTCCAGTACTTCATCCCTCCAAACTTATTCAAGGAGTACGGCATCAAAGCAGAGGTCAGCATCGACGGTGTGAGCATGCGCAAATACATACATGACACCTATGTCGGCCGTCTGCATGGGGTATCAAGGTATGCTTGTGCCAGCAGTGCTCATGTTGGAAATCTCTTCATTGGGCAGCGATTTCGGTTTGCCACGCTGGACACACGTAAGCTTGATCCCTATTTCTCATCAGACTGGCCTAATGAAGTTCCTCATAGACGATGAGACAGAGCCAGTAAACACAGCGGTGCAGAACCAACTAGCGGCCACGGGTGACATATCGGTGTCTTTCTATCGCATCACCAACGTTCGTGTCTCAAGCGCAGGCAAGAAGGCACCAACTATACATGAGTATGACAAGGTTCCAGAAAAGGCACTGAAAGGCTCGGCTGTTTCGCTCAAAACACAGTACAACTCCAAGCGAGCTCTCAATTTCTTGAGTCCGCTAACTGGTTGGATAGACTTGATCCCTTCGAACGCATTGCACCAGTGACGTGGGTCGAAGCCGACCATGTCGATGGAGACCGTCCATTCGCTATTATCCAATTCAGATACCGCTCTGCAGGTACGCGACACTGCTCCAGAAGAGATAAAGCCTAACGGAATCGTATCGTAGCTGCTCTCAGATCACTCCATATACTCCCTCCGCTTCAGAATTCTGTGTCCTTAGAGAAGGGCTCCGCCAGCAAACTTTCAATGGCGAAGAAGGCTCGACCGCTGGATGATTATCACGTAACGAATTTCCTGTGTCATCAGAACTTGTAAATCCATGACTGACCAATTGTATGTAGCCCGGGAAAGAAGTGATGCCCGTAATGAAACGACAACGTGCCGAGAATGATGAGGACTCCGAGGTTAAATTAGTGGTGGAAAGGAGTGCAAAGCGTCGATGCCTGCCCACCAATAAGGACGAGATTGTTGTACTGGAGTGAGAGCGCTATAGATGCGAAAAAGGATGGTCATATGTGGTGAAGAAGGAGGGTCGCACTGTGTTCTGCTGGTATGAATACACAATTTCAATGACAGGCAGGACATGTCCTTGAGGCTAAGCATGTTTTGAGTGATATGTTCCCTCAAGTATTTACAACAGAAATAGAAGATCTCAAATGGCCAAAGATTCTATGAAGCTTTATAAGTATGTAATTGTAGTCATTTGCAGTGTAGGGAACACACTGCAATTGAGAAAATCCGCACCGTCGCAAAAATTCCATAGGATGATCGCCAGAAATAATTTTGGCCAAGGGCAAATGAGATTTTGCCACGGGATGGAGATGGACGAGGGTGTTTCAAAAACGGCAAACCCTCCACCTCAGCTTTGCGCCACGAGATTATCTAAAACACGCTCAAATTGTTTTGATTTTGTTCTCATTCAGTAGGCCAAAAGAGACTACACTTTAGCCTTCTTGGACACTATTCGCATGGAAGAGAATGAATAGCATAACCAGTTGCTTTTCCACTGCCAGTAGCTGTGCGTTTGGCAATTGACAGGCTACCTCTCATCGTTGCAGACCTCAGCTTGGCTTGTCGGCTTGATAATTATCAGCGACAAACTCTCGTCATCAGTCGGGTATCTTATTACGGCTTGAGGCGCCTTAAGGAATAGTACATAGGCGGGGGGGGGAGGGGGCAGCTGGTTTTATACTCGTGTTGGGAGCTATGTAAAAAATCTAGTTTAGGGATGACGAGTAAACCGCTTGGATCCTTGGTTGAGGGAGTGGGTTGCTGAATAACGATGTTCTTGCACTTTCCACTAACTTCAGGGCTGGAGTTGCTAATGAGGAGTGCTGACTGGTCACTGAAAGCCAGTATATGGATCATATCTCAAGGAACTGCACTAGAGCAGATTGTTTACAAATGGGCCACTTGATCCCCTGGCAGGCCATAAGCGCAAACTGTAAGCTTGTAAAAAAGCCATTGATAAACCATATTACATGAATGGGATGTATGAAAGCAGTGCCCTGGGACCACCATCATCATGCCACGGTACCCAATTATGCCCTACGTAAGATCGATAATCTCGCGTCCACTCTCGTTAATGGTGATGTTGGGTCGTGGGCGCTTTGCTGAAGATACGAATGATACCTCATCGTCGTCCTCGCTACCTCCAAGAATAGCCGGGTACTCGCGTTTGAGGCCTGATTCTTTCTTTAATTTTGTCAGGAGACTGTCTTGTTTCGAATCTGATGCGTTGACCACATGCGTCTCGTTGTCTTTGGCTTGAATGAGTTGAGGAGACAGGCTCCGTGGGATGACGAGTAGTGACTGAAGGGCAGCTATAACCTGTTAGCCAAAGTTTATGCTAAGAAGAAAAACTAGATAGCAGCGACTTGTACCTCTCGAGCGGTATTTGAAGTTCCAAGTGGCAAAGGGCAGTCTCTGCTGATCGACATAATCAAATTCTGTATGGCTCGAGTATATCTGGGGCTCTTTGACTTCCGTGCCTAGCCTGTATCAAGAATCAATATAGATTTTTACAACGATCAAGGGAACGTACTCTGCGTAGTGTGTGAAAGCCTGTCCTTTCAACACCTTCTCCGGGATTGGACCGACACCAATTTGCTTCTTGTTGACATATCTGTTGTTGGAGCGCACGTCTCGGAGATTTTCAATGTAGTACGCTTTCACGGTAATGAGACCGATCGATTTTAGGCCCTTAATGAGCGCGTCTCCTAGATCATAATCATATGAATCTTCTGAAAAACATTTGTTAGCAGACACAGCTCAACCGGTGGCAGGTATCTCACCAATCTGAAGCTCGGAAAAGCAAAACTTTCGCAATGTGCGTTGTCCGTCTACAATCTTTGTAACAGTAGTGTTGAACTCTCGCTTCACGCTCCCTCTCACTCTCTGGTATTGGCGATCACCAATGATGCGCGAACGAACGGAGTTGCCGTCTATGTAGAGCTTGAAGATCATAGCGTAACGAGGGAATGGCCGATGGACTTCGACTTGAACTGCAAATTCTGCGGCAGATTTCGCTTCGATATATTTGGTGACAGTGGTGGTTGTCTCGCCATCGTCCTCGTCAAACTCCTGTAGGTGTGCTCTGTCGCATTCGACATAAGCTTCGATTTTCGGATTTTCGTGGGTGATAGCCATGTTTTTATCTAGAACTGGCACGCTTCTAGGTTGAGCTGGATGGAGAAAAATAGCGGGATATGAAGCTGAGTACAGTGCATCTGGCGAGGCTGCGTGTGTGTATGTGTTACAGCAATGATGAGAGTGAGCAGTATGAAGTGAAGGTGAGAAGGTGTAGCTGCTAGTCGTGACTGCCATTCTTGGGCTGCACGGCAATGCACCACTGCCGCGCTTGCTTACATTAGATACAGAGTCCAACTGCCAATATATGTGATTGACACCACCACGGAAGCTACCAGAGATGCCTATTAGCAAACATGCGCTTAGAACTGTACCCCATACCTCATTAACGGGTAACACACACAAACAACACTTTCACAGCAATGGGACGGCGATTTCATATATACGAATATTCTATTCACTCGTCAATACTACAGGTAGGAATCACCTGTACAAAAACACCTCCCTAACCATGTTCCTATTCCAATCAAAAGCCTTGATGCCCAGAAGCAAGAAAAACCAAACAAAGGAGAGAATACAGCCCATCACAAATGAGCCCAGATGTTGAGGGGTACATGACAGGTAATACTAACAAAACATTGCGCCGAAGAGGCGAGAAACACAAGCCTAAGAAATGAAATATCGAGGCCTCACAAAGAGACCACATCCAGTACGCCTTATGCATCAAAAGCCCATGTGCCAGATGCCTATTGTACGTAAATAGAGATTGAAGGAAACGCTATGCAGTCGTTATCATGGAAATATACCTCCATACAATGGTATCATTTGCTGATGTGGATCAGGCCGTGAGTTTTGGAAGATCGCGATGGTAATAATGCCGAGATGGATGGTAGAAAGTGACTCGGTGGTGAGGGACCACCGATAGAAATGAAGATGGGTAGTACCAGTAGATGCTGCCATTTGAGCTAGCATCAACCGGACTGACCATCTACCATGCACCTATGCTGGCGGAGGAGCCACTTCCGTAGTTCCCGCTCAGTAGTTGCTGGCGAATTGACATGGCATCAGTAGGCCCAGCTGTGGTTGCATTGCCAGTCTCGGCACCCATCCAGCCAAGACCCCCGCGCAGCTCACTGACAGCCTCTTGCATCTTTCCACCTGAGACCTCATTGTGCTTGGCAATTTTCTGATCCCATCCACCATACTGGAGTTGTATTCCACCTGCTCTCTTTGCTGCCTCCCGAATGACTATTGCCCATGCTTTAGCCATCTCTTCATACGCCTCCTGTTTGTGTCGGTTGTGCTGGTAGGTATCCCAGTTGGGAAGGCGGTGGAGAATTTCGGTGGCTCCATCTAGGAAGGCGAGTGAGGTGGCGGGCTGTTGTTCGTTTGGTGGGAGAAAGTGAGGCGTGAAGTCCTTGAGAGAGTCCAGCAGATCATCAAGCTGTTGACGGACCCTATTGTATGCGTAATCTGATGATGCACGGTTGCCAAACGGAAATGCCCCCTGGAATGCCGCCTCATATTTGGACAAAACTTCCATGGCTGATTGGATACTGGGGCGAGGCGCTGTGGTGACGACTTCGTTGCCAATATCTGGGTGGCGCTGACAGATGGACTGTAGTAGGTTCCGCATCTCGTCGGCGCTTAGTGTCTCGAGGAGGCGTGGCAGAGGGAGCTGTCGACCGGAAACGTTGGTTCGCATACGTTTCATGCCTCGTGGCGCAGGTCGGGGGAGGATGGCAGGAGAAGTAGATGGGGATGCACTCATGCGGTCGTCGTCGCCGGCACTTCCCTCATCGTCGGCTTTCCGCTTGCGGCCCGTCATGGCAGTGGAGGATGGCATGACTGAAGAGCAGTGTCTGAGATTAGTTGCTGGTCCGTGGTTGATGTTTTGGTAGCAGCGAGTGGACATACTGTTGCGAGTGGGCGAGCGGCGGTTGTTATTGTTCAAGAGGTGAGGGGGCGTGAAAGCCTGATATTGTACGTTCATGGCGACAACGAGCAGCCGGCAAACGCTGTGAAAGTCGCAGATCTGCTTTGCGGGGCACCGCGCGGCAGGTGGTGATGCGTAGAGGGTGGCGCGGGAGGCGATGTTCTGGTTGCGTGGGCGGTTTGGGCGGTGTCGGGTGTGTTGTTGTTGGTAGTGGAGACAAGCAAAGGCATGCCCAGCAGAACCCAAGATGGTACGTGCTGGGAGACCGACCGTGCACCACGTCACGTGTCGTTCAGTGTAAAAGCCTCTGCTATGTGCATCCCTGGAACCCCTCGTGTTGTACGGCCTTTATCTCTGGACTAATTCGATTCAAATGCCCTCATCATTATGGCAATTTCACACGATATCATGTCTTTAGTTGCACAGTATGCTGGAAACCATATATCCGTGGGGGATCATCTGCCACGGCACTAGGTCCGCGGCATCTGATCTAGTCAATTTCTACTCAGGACACACCTTGTGGAGTCTCTCCTTTTGAAGGACCAAACGGTGAATGCCCCTTTTGCGCACCTGAAAAAAAACTTGCTTGTTCGTTTTGTGGCGCGTTCGTTTAGACGTCATACAAGGGAACACCATCTACATACCGCACTTACCTGCTAAATAACGAAAACATTTACAGCGACTCAACAATACCATGTTATACAAGACAGACGCAAAAAATCAAGTTAGAGGTAAAGAGACTGGGCAGCGACAAGATCCCGACGAACGAGCTCCAGTGCTGCAGTAAACTTTTGCTCAAGCTCTTCACTGCCCATAACTTTGGCGGCTTGGGCTATCTGCCGGAGCAACTCCTCCAGTCGCCTGAAAAGGCGAATGAGACTGCCTTCGTAGACATCGGTCATTTTGCTTAAACACATTAGCTATGGATCAAATACAAACGGCTGGGCGAACATACCAAATCTCCGAGAAAGTAGCACCCTTTGACCAGGCAAACACAACCTCCATGAGCTCGTATTTGAAAGATTTGAGGTATTCCTCCTCGTTGAGCGTCAGCTTACTCTCTTGCGACATTTTGGCGATGACTCTGGCTTGCTGCTGGATCTCGCGGTAAGGCTTGGCGAGTTCTTCTTTTAGCGCTGGCACTTCCTGTGTCTTCTCCTCAAAGATGAAACAACTCAGACAGGCGGCGCATTGCTCGGGTGTCAGCTCATTGAAGAACCGGTTGAAGAGCAGTTCGCTGAGAACTAATTCGTCACCCGTGCTGATTTCGCAGGCAACGCGGGCTTTCAGCTGGACGACATCGGCATCGTCGATGAAGCCTAGTCGACGCAGTACACGTTTTCTGCTCTTCAGTTCATCAAGCTGAATAACGGACAATGCGTTGGCGATCTCCTTTTTGGTGTTTTTGATCTTTTCACCAATTGCAATTTTCTTTGCGTATTGGCTGTAAAGCTCAGGTAACCTGGGCGAGTTGTGAAGAGGATTCGACAGGAGACGAGATTCCAGTACTTCAATTTTCTATGTCAAGTTAGTCATGCACCATAACAGCGGCCTGTGTACACTTACCCTTAGAAGCCTCTTGAAGCTTTCGTCCTTGATATTCATGTTCTCAATAGGATCCAAAATGGCAATACCATCTGGGAAACGCTTCTCGACTTCGTTAAGCGCCTTGCGAACATTGTTCCTCTGTTCCGTTGACTTGAGATCATTTGGCAGGAATACGCGGAGGTGACCAATTGACTCAATGCAGTTCAGGACTACGGGTACCACTTCCATCTTGCCCTTGTCCCCAGGCGCAGGCGGCCGGACACCAGGGGGCAAGCCATCGTTCACTACAGGGGCAAATTTATTATCACTGCCGACGATGAGCAGAACGTCGACGATATATGACTCTTGAGGTGGTAGGACTTCGCCCTTGTTTGCTTTGCGAGGGGCAAATGCTACAACTGCACCCCATCCAAAATCGTGGTCTTTGTAGCTAACCTTGACGAGCCGGCCACCCTGCAGGAATGGCAGGCAGTAGTTGGGGTGCATAATTACGTCGCGCATGTCCTTGGTGTGAGTGTCCAGTTGCTGTCGCAGATTGTAGTAATCCTTGACGGCGGCTTCATCAATGATGGTGGTGTTTAGCTTTTCTTGCTCGAGTTCCTCAAGTTCTGTGGCTGTCAGTAAATGAACAGGATCGATGGAAAGTAGGACTTACGTTTTTCTAGATTGGAGACACCAGCTGTGCTCTGGAATTGATAGAAGCACCTTTCCAACATGAACTCGGGAGAGATGCCTTCCACTCGCATCAAGTTCAGAATCATATTGTAGCCAAGATGGAAAGCCGAGTTCAAATTGTCCTGCTGACCGCGTACAATTTCCTTGGCTACAGCAGGCTCCATCTGTTCGTCAATCATCATGATGACAATACCACGGTCGTCAAGACCACGACGACCGGCTCGACCGGACATTTGAATAAATTCCGAAGGCGTAACCCATCTTTGGGACACTCCATCGAACTTGCGTACACTTGTGAACACAACAGTCTTGGCCGGCATGTTGAGACCGATGGAGAACGTCTCTGTCGCGAAGAGTACTTTAATCAAGCCCTCCTGGAACAGTATTTCGATAGTTTCCTTGAGAATGGGAAGTAATCCAGAATGATGAACCCCAACACCTCTCCGAAGAAGAGGAAGAATATTCTGGATCTGAGGTAATTGCCGGTCCTCTTCCGAAAGCATCTCAATAGCGCTATTGAACACCTTTGTGACCATGGCCTTCTCGGATTCGTCGTTGAACGCAAGGGAGCTCATAGCTAGCGCGTAGTTTTCACACTCGCGCTTACTGAAGCTGAACACAATGACGGGATTGTAGCTCTTAACCATGATCATCTTGACAATCTTGTAAATGTCCGTCTGCTCTCTGTTGCCGCCTGTATTGGTCTTCTTGTCCTTGCCTTTGCCCTTGCGTTTGGCCATAAAGTCTTTCGCGTCAGTTCCAGCCTTGTCAGCGATGGACGACATAGCTTTTTGGAAGTTCTCTTCGCGAAACATGCCCTTCTCATCAACCACCAAATGTATACCATCGGCACCAGCAGGGAAGAAATAGTGTTGTAGCGGGGTTGGACGGAAATCGGTGTAAACGACGTGACATGGCTGGCTATGGGTTTTGGTGATCCATTCGGCAAACTGCATCGAGTTGGGAATGGTGGCGGACAGAAAGACGTAGCGGACCTTGTCAGGGAGCAGAATGATAGTCTCTTCCCATACAACACCTCTCGACTTGTCACGAAGGTAGTGCACCTCATCAAACACAACCCAAGCTACTTCACGCATGATTTCGGATCCTCTGTATAACATGGATCGTAGAATCTGCAAATGTTAGCCTCTACGAGATCTAGACTTTTTGCACGATACACACCTCCGTTGTCATGACTAAACATGTGGCGGTTGGGTTGATGGTGACATCACCTGTCATGAGACCGACGTCGCCGAACTCTGCCATGAACTCTCGGTACTTCTGGTTGCTGAGAGCCTTGATGGGACTGGTGTAGATGACTCGCTGATTGTTCTTGAGACATTGTGCAATAGCGTACTCTGCCACGACCGTCTTTCCGGCTGAAGTATGCGCTGATACGAGGACACTCTCGTTGCGCTGGATCGAGGCAATAGAGACCTGCTGGAAGGGATCCAGTGCAAAGGGCCATGTGCGCGCCGGCTCCGTCGGAGGCTTGTGCTCAGAAATGGGGACATAGTCGTAGTCCGGCGGTAAGGCGACCTGATGTCGGACCTGATGTGAAAGTACTACGGCCTGTCCGTCTTGGGTCTGTGCCTGCAGTCCAGCAGCAGCAGCGACTTCGCGCGATTGCTCCGTCTCGAAATCGTCGGTAACAATAGGCTCGGGCTCGGCATCACGCTTCTGCCGTTTCTTCAGTGTCTCGGCTGCGCTGTTTTCGTTTGCGCCACCTTGTGCTTCTGCTGGCGCATCCGACATGCTAGCATCTTCGACAGGCACTGGCGACTTGACATCGCCGTTGGCCTGGCGCTTCTTGGTCTTGCGGGGCGCAGCGTCCTTGGAGGGGCCGCCCTCGAAAACTTCAAACATATCGTCATCCATGGTGGCAGGTTATGTGCGCGCGCTCTAGGTGAGGGGGGGGAGGGGGGTGATATGTGGTGGTGTAGCTCTCATGCGACGGAATGACGAGGAATGGCTATGGGCGCGATCAAAAAAGTAGCACGCACAGACCTTTTCTGCCAAGACATGTGCGTGTGGGTAGGGAAGCTGCTCTCATCGAACCATCGCGACGACAACTCCGCAACATCTCCCCTCCACAACACAGCCAAAGTATGCTCCAGCTCTGTGCCAATTGATACCTTCACTAACTGGCCAAGATGCTCGCCCGTGCTACTTTCCGCGCCGCATCGGCCCCAACCCTTGTCGCCCGCCGCGGCTTCCAGTCCACTCGCGCCCAGTTCTCCAGCCCGTACCACTACCCCGAGGGCCCGCGCAGCAACTTGCCATTTGACCCCCTCAAGAAGGGCTTTGCCTTCAAGTACTGGGGATTCATGGGTGCGATCGAGAAGACTCCCATAGTATAATACATACTAACACAGGCATAGCCACTGGATTCTCCCTTCCCTTCCTCCTCGCTGGTGAGCCTTCTTATACTGCTCTGCAAGCAATTAAACAGAAACTAACTGCAATATCCTCACAGTCTGGCAAACCAAGAAGAACAAATAGGCACCATCTCTCACAGTGTGGACATGGGGCTCGGGCACGCCAGGGACACAATGCCTGTAGAATATTGGGCGGCCCTTTTGGTGACCGTATAGACATAGCAGTATCAATTTCATTGTCTGTCTCTCACTGCTTGTAACATAAACTGAAGACTTGTGGTGCTAACTCGTCGGATAATGGCGGGCTGATCGGTGGGCGCGACGCCTTGTAGTGTGCAATACTCTTCAGAGATTTTTTAAGCCTATATTGAAAAGGCCAAAACTGTACCAAAAATGTACAATGTTTAGCTCAATGGCTCTTGCACTCGCAACACCGCCGCGGTTGACTGTGATGATGTGACGCATTATCATTCGGTAGAAGCTCGGCGCTAGCATCACCAAAAATTCGCGACCACTCATAGCGCTCGAATATTGTAGCCGTCAAAGAACACAAACTACCAACACTCACCAAGCATATGATTCTCCAGCGATGCGCAATCTCAAGATTGTGGGAAGATCGCTCCTGCGATTTGCCGGAGAGGAGCCCCTTCCACTCACAGCCACTGCCTGGGACGCTGCATCCAATGCACTGATATGCGCTTTTGGCCCCTCGGAATCACGTGCGACTATCGAACTGAAAAGACTACACCACACACGCGCGAGTGGTCAGGAAAAACTTGAGAACATTGCGTCGTGGGATGCGCCCTGTCCATTGCCCTCGCTTACCCATGACGCAATCTTGAGTCTACACCATTTTTCTGACACTTCAACATCGTGTCTAATCTTAGCCGGCGGGGATATTGTGCTAGTTAGAGAAAACCCGTCGTCGAATGAAGAGCTAGTTGAGATTGTGGGTTCAGTGGACATAGGCATCTCTGCCGCTGCTTGGTCGCCAGATGAGGAACTCCTCGCTATTACCACTCAGGCGGATACGCTACTGCTAATGAGTCGTGATATCGAAAACATAGCCAGCGTCAACTTGACACCCGAAGACGTCAACGTATCCAGTCATGTCTCAGTAGGATGGGGAAAGAGAGAGACACAGTTCAAAGGCAAACGAGCTAGAGCACTCCAGGACCCAACAGTGCCAGAGACCATCGATGAGGGCGTACTGAGTCCGCTTGACGATCGATCTGTCACCATCAGCTGGAGAGGAGACGGTGCTTGGTTCGCTGTCAGCAAAGTTGAGGAGGAGACACGTCGCATGATTCGAGTATATTCCCGAGAAGGAACGCTGGATAGTGTGAGCGAGCCTGTTGACGGCTTGGAAGGAGCTCTCAGTTGGAGACCATCTGGGAACCTGATTGCTAGTACCCGACGTACCAGCGACAAGGTCGAAGTGGTCTTTTTTGAGCGCAACGGACTTCGCCATGGCCAGTTCGATCTTCGATTTACTCCTGAAGAGCTTGCAACAATCGAAAAACCTGTAACACTTGCATGGAATAGTGACTCTAACGTTCTAGCCGTTTCGTACACGGACAAAGTTCAGCTATGGACAATGAGCAATTACCACTACTATCTCAAACAGGAGTTACCATTCCCAGAAACTGCTCCGAAAAATGTCATGTGTAGCTGGCATGCAGAACGTCCTCTGGCAGTAGCCCTCTCAACTCTAGGTAAGTGATCTTTCAAAGCCAATTGTTGTATAGTAGTTGATATGATGATAGGTGCTCTTGAGGTGCTGGAATATGCATCTACGACCCCGACTGGCTCGGCTGTACCGCCGAATGACTTCGGCATGGTTGCATCAATAGATGGGTGTAAGTAATCCAACTCACATATATCTACAGCTTTGTGGTTGACATACATCAGTGGTCCTGAAGCTCACCCCGCTGCGCATTGCAAATGTTCCTCCTCCAATGGCATTCCACAGTTTGTCACTCGAATCCAAAACCGTCGATGTTGCATTGTCAAAATCAGGCACTCGTTTGGCTGTGCTTTCGCATCATGATCTATCGGTATACGCGCTTGATCTCAACAAGCGGCCAGTACCGAAGCCTGACTTCCTCTGGAAAAGCGATGCGGTCTCCGGCCATTGTCCACGCCACGTTACATTTGTTGGTGATAATCAAATATTTGTGCTAACAGACAGCTGGGAAGAAGAAGAAAGTTCCCTTTGGCGATCTGAAGGGGAGACACTATTACCCCAGGGACCTATCATGGAAGCTGATGGCGCTTCTGCTTTGCTCTCCAGCATAGACCATGAGGCACTCTACACCTTGCTTCAGAATGGTGCGTTGCATGAGATCAATGCCGATGAAATGGCGGCGGACTTGCCTCCTCAGACATCACTTGTGAACAAGTTTCCTGCATTTGCACCTGAAGTTCAGGTAGTCAAGTTTGAAGGACAGGTGCGCAAATTACCCACGATTGAGTAAAAGCAACGACTAAATTTTGCAGACATTGACTTTCGGGTTGACCAAGAGCGGAGCCCTGTTCGCCAACGAGCGAATATTGGCCCGCAATTGCACATCTTTCGTGGTCACGCCTGCACATCTTATTTTCACGACAACTCAACATCTCCTGAAATTTGTTCACCTTACCAACGTAGATGGTACGATTTGATGTGCATGTGAACCTTGATTTTATATTGACTTCTTCAGATCTCGAGGTGCCTGCAGATGAGCCGCAAAAGGACGAGAGATGCAGAAGCATCGAGAGAGGCGCGAAGATCGTTACCGTCATCCCCACAACATACTCAGTTATACTCCAAATGCCTAGGGGAAATCTAGAGACAATATACCCCCGAGCGCTTGTACTTGCTGCGATACGGCGGAACATCGAGGCAGAGCGTTACGACGAAGCATTCTTCGCATGCCGCAGCCAGCGTGTGGACTTGAACATCCTCCATGACCATGACCCTGAGCGTTTTCTTGCAAGTCTTGAGAGGATCATCACACAGATTAAAAAGGTTGAGCACATTGACCTGCTCTTAGCTCAGCTCCGGTATGTAGAGCTATAATCTGGCAAGACACTGATGACTAATGCTATTAGGAATGAGGATGTCTCAGAAACCATGTACAAGGAAACTCTTAAAACAAAGGACCTTGCAGTAAAGTCGCGACTTTCGCAAGAACAAGTGGAGAAAAAGGTCAACCGAATTTGTGATGCATTCCTTGCCGTATTGGAACAGCCTCAATATAAGGATGCTCATCTGCAAAATATCATCACAGCTCATGTTTCCAAGACGCCTCCGGCACTTGAGACAGGGCTCCAGATGATAGGGCGTCTGCAAGGTACTTGCTATGCACTCGTTTTCTGAATATGACTAACGAAATTCAGAATCGAACGATTCTTTAACTGACAAAGCCGCTGAGCATATCTGTTTCCTTGCAGATGTCAATCAGCTCTATGACACATCATTAGGATTGTATAATCTCGAGCTTGCATTGCTCATCGCTCAGCAGTCACAAAAGGTAACCATATTTATTTCCTCTTGTTTTGATATAATTCTAACTATGGCAGGATCCTCGAGAATATCTTCCACATCTACAATCCCTGCAAGACCTGCCCGAGACACGCCGAAAGTTCAGAATTGATGACCAACTTGGACGCCGAACGAAGGCACTCAAAAATCTTAATGACCTCCAAGCGTTTGACGAAGTTCGGGAATATGTGCAAAAGCATGATCTCTACTCGGAAGCACTGAGTATGTACCAATACGACAACGCCCGTCTCCGAGAGATTATGCGCATGTATGCAGACTTCTTGCGTGCGAAAAACAAGAACAAGGAGGCTGCGATAGCATATGAGTACTTGGGTGACCATTCGTCGGCATGGCCATGTTATCGATCGGCCAACCTTTGGCGCGAAGCGCTATCAAGTGCGGTGCTGGCTGAAGTCAGTGCTGACGAGCTCTCATCCATTGCAACAGATTTGGCAGAAGGTTTCTCGGAATCAAAGGACTATCTCGCCGCAGCAACGATCACATTGGATTATCTGTCGGATCCTTCTTCTGCAGCTCGACTATTCTGCCGTGGCTGCTACTTCGCTGAAGCTATCCGTATAGTCACACTACGCCGCGAACCCAATCTTATTACCGAAGTCATCGACCCGGGTCTTGTGGAGCGTAGTGCAGACATGACGGAGTTCCTTGCTGATATGAAGGGTCAACTCCAAGCACAGGTGCCTCGACTCAAGGAGCTGAGGACCAAGAAGGCAGAAGATCCAATGGCTTTCTACGAGGGCATGATGGACGGTGGTGCCGACGCCAATATTCCCGACAATATCTCACTCGCTCCGACCGACACTACCTCTGGTGGAACGTTTATGACAAGGTACACGAATCAGACCGGTACGGTCAACACAACGACTACGCGCAAGACTAGTAAGAACAAGCGTCGTGAAGAGAGGAAGCGTGCTCGTGGTAAGAAGGGTACCGTGTACGAGGAAGAGTATCTTACGAACTCTATCGAACGCCTGATTGAGCGCATCAACAGTATGCAAGACGAGATTCAGCGTCTTGTGGAGGGTCTCATCAGGCGCGGTATGAGAGAGCGCGCGGACGCTGTGTCGAATGCTGTCAGTGAGGTTATGGAGAAGTGTCAGGACGCTGTTAAGGAGATGTACCCACCCGCGACAGACACAGCACCTGTTGAGAATGGTGTTGCTGCTGAAGCTGAAGCTGGTGTGCTGAGGCCGACTGGTGGCGATGCGACATTGTGGGATAGTCTGCAGGAGGTGGGCAAGAAGCGCGAGGCGCCTGTCGTGAAGTCTTTTGAGCGGTTGAGTCTCCTTGGCTAGATGGTGTGGGCGAGTCGTGAAGGATCGGTGCAGTAGAATATGATACAGTGATAGTAAACTTGTAGAGAGTGGTGCCGACAAGACAACAAACACATGTGTGCTGTAGTATGAAGTCACCTCACTATCAACCTTCCACTAGACAGCAGACATCACGATCAAGAAAAACACACATTTTTCATCACCACCACCAATTTTATTCCTCGATAAGACGTGGCAATCAGTCAAGTATCTAAGCCGATGCCATATCCTGACTATTAGCTCGGCAAAGCGCCAGCCAGAAAAAGTCGCAATACTCTTGCATATCAGCGGAAAAAAGAAATCCAGTATCTCAATATCAGTATACAATCCTCATATCTTCCATCTCAGTAATGTACAATCACCTTTCCATCGTGATAAAGAACATCAAACCTTACTATTCCGATTCATCACCAGAACTCGAAAAAGGCCGCGCCAAAAAGTCCAACACTTCCTCACGCATAGCCCAGCACACAAGAAGCATGTTGTTACGATCAGTAGTACTGTTCTGAACACCAACATCAAAGTGAGAATCAACGCCGGCGACTTCCTCAGACGATATGGTAGGAGAGTCAGCAAGCACGAAGCCATAAATCATGTTGCGGATATGCGGGTTCAGAATCTCGAGGGTTCCGAGATCAGAGTAGCGTGGGTTGTTATGCGGGATGGTGGACGGTGCGTTGGATAGCAAAGTGAGCGGCGTGTTGTGCGGCACAGGAGGCAGCATGGTGGGTGCTGTGGGGGGAGATTGATACGTCAAATGCGGTGCGATGGCGTAGATGGGAGGTGGTAAGTGCAAAGGGTGCGAGTCGAGGTTGCTGCAACGGGAGGAGGAGTCGCCGGATTCGTTGTCATCGTAGTAGTTGAAGTTGTTGGTGTCGGTGAAGTAGTCCTCGGGATTGTAGTAGTCATTTTCCTCTGCTTCTTCATGCTGGTCTTCTTCTCCTTCTCCTTCATCATCATCATCATCATTTGAATCGCTGGGGTCGTTGTCGTCGTCGTCATCGTCGTTATTGGTGTCGTGAACCTCGAAGGTATCATCGTCGTAGTCGGAGTCAAAAGCGCTTCCATACTCGAAGGAATTGTTGTCAGAGAGAGAGTCTCCCTCGTCGGAAGCATTATAGTTGTCGTCCTCGTCGAAAGTGTCGTAGTAGGCCGAGGAGGGAAGGATGGTGGGGACGTGGTCATAGATGAACGGGTCACTGTCATCGGAGTCAGTCTCCCCATAGAGGGGAGACGACAGGCTCGTGGGCTCAGCAGGATGCTGCTCGTTGCCATCAACAGCTTGACCAAGGCTGTTGATTTGCTGGTCCGTGAGAACCAGAGCATCTGCGTCATAGCCCTTGAACAAGTACGCATAGTCAGGCTGCTCACTCACGGGCTTGGTAAGCTGAGCAGCCGGCTTCTTGTACTTGGGGACTGGCCTGTTTGGCACATACAAAAATAATGGTTAGAAGATATCTCAATTGGAAAGTGAGTGGAGTGAGTGACTGACTTGGGAGCGCCGCCGTAGCCGGACAAAGGCCCTAATGGGACCTCGAACGACATTGGCAAGGGATCGGCGTTGTTGTCAGTCTCCGTCTCTGCCTCGGTGTTGATGGGAGACATCATGAAGATGTCCTCGAAGTCGGTGACGGGGACAAGAGATGCGGGTGACCCAAGCGTCACGATCTCGGCGGATGAGGATGGGAGAGTAGATCTATATCTGGGATTTCTGTCAGTATTGACAGCCGCTGTCATCACGGGAAAGGTTACTGTTGGTGTCCGGATGAGGTTCGACAAGGCGGCGTAGTAGAAAAGGAGTGGATAGGAGCCAGAGGGCGATGGTATATCTGTGGGAGAATTGCCGCTAAGCCTTAGTCACCGCAGTGAAAGGTGAAAATGGACTGGTTTTTTCTTGTAGTGAAGATGATTTTTGAGGCTGCAGCGCGTACTCCATGTGAGAGGCAAACGGCTAGCACGGGCCAGACCAAACGCAGACCAAATGAAAACAAAACGGTGATGACTAAGACCTTGAAGTATGGCATTGAGACATGAGCTGAATTAATTGGGTTTGAAAAGGACGATATATACGATTTTTTGGTGTTCAAGTTTGTCAGTGTCTTGATTTGAGTTTTGAGTAGTGTGCCGTGGACCATCTCAGTATATCAGATAAAACAAGCAAGACAATCACAAAAGTAACTCACCGCCCACATCTGTCTCACTAAAAGATACAATCAGGCAGCCGTTCTCTCAATTCACTCCATATATACTGATCGAGACTTACTGATTTCTCCCAATGGATATTTGATAACGGCTCATCTGTCAGTTCAAGTGTTGGAGTGAAGCCTAACAAAATCATGTGCCACTCTCCCCTGTTCCCGGCAAAAATGTCGATAACAACAGCAGTAGCCATGGGTAGTGAAACCTCAGATCACGCCATTAGCCTATCACTATTCGGAAGTCAGGAACAGCTGTCTTGGGCAGGACGAATTGATATGTGGAGTGAAATTTCCGGATGTAGTGTAGTTTGAAAACGTCAAGTCAAACTGTAAGGTTATAATGATATTAAGAGTGAGATATAAACCGTGATGCGTGTTATGTAGTGTCCAACACAGTCGAATAATACTCTATAGAGAAAGAATTCACCGAAACCGACCTCTATTTTTCATGTAATCTAGAACACCAAGCCGATCAAAACGCCAGTCATGCAAATAGTGCACAAGTAATTACAATACACCAGGGATAGGCCCTTTCTTCTCATTTGAGCCCAACTCCTCTTCATTCCATCCACCCCCACCACCAACCTTTCTTCCGCCCTCTTCTCTCTTTACTCTGCACCACAGGCTGATGTCCTTATCCCAGATGAACTGCCAAAGCACGTATACCCAGCTCTTGTGTTGGGGAAGATCCTTGTAGAAGTCGTGTGCAATCTTGTTGAGAGCGTGTAAGCGGGTCCATGGAATGGCAGGGAAGTCGTGGTGCTCATTGTGAAGACCAACGTTATAAGTCAATAAGTTAAGAGGCCCATAGTATGAATATGTTTCAGGGAGCGGAATCTTGTTGGCAGGGTTCGCGGCATCCTTGTTGGGCTTCTCAAAAACGTAGTGCTCGGCAATGAAGTGGCCTGCGCAAGGGTGCAAGGATCCAGCAAGGAAGCTGCTCATGATGAGGTAACCCAATGCCCTTCCACCTGCATATTGTACCAGGAGATAGTCAAAGGCGAGCTGTACAACAACATTGAAGAGGTGGATCTTGGTCATTGGCAAGCTATACACGAACATGGGTCGTAGGGCGTAGAAAAGGATCTGGAAGGTCGCGAAGAAGGCCTTTCCAGCAACCGAGTCGAGGAAGATGGCTTCGAAAGCGGTTGGCAGATCGGTATCAAGACCATTTACACCCAGCGATTTGTGGTGGGTCAGGTGGTAGGGCCTGAATGAGGCACTGTATGGGATGCCAATTGGCAGGTTCGCAAAGACGGCAAAAAGTCGGTTGGCCTGTGGCGATCGGAAAGCCAGGTTGTGCGATATCTCGTGGATAGCAAGGAAGAGGTTCTGGTTGGCTGTGGCACCGACGACGTATGCTGTGAGGAAGAAGGGCCATGACAGCAGAGGCGTGTTGCGAAGAAGGTATGCGCAGGCAACTTGTATCGACACGACTAGCAGGACAACGTATTTGGTGAGCGGCTCGGGGCCACAGAGTTTAGTTACCTATGTGCAGATTAGTCAGGAGATCCAATGATGCAACCAGCCGGCAGAAATACCTCTGGGTGAGCCTTGATAATGGCCATTCGGCGTGTCCTGTGCGGCTCCTCGGTGTACGTCCAAAAGAAGTGGTCATGTTCATTCTCGAATTTCGGCTCTTGCTGCCCGTCGGCCTTGACGGTAAAGCCGCGAGGCGCAGGGCTCTTCGAGGGTACGGTAGCGGTAGAGACTGAGGACCGCATGGTTGCGGCTGTCAGGGACAATTGCAGATTAAGGGTCGTGTAGGGAGCGGAGGGGTTGAGCTGGAAGTTTGGTTTGTGGAGTATGGAGGACCCTGGGCCTTGGCGCTTGAGGCGGTGGGCCAATGTCGCCCCATGGTTGGCTGATGATACCCACTCTGCCTTCCGCCACCCACCCACTAGCGCAGGAACCTGTATCCCTTCTTCCAGACCTCGGTCACGTGCCCATCACAAGTATGTGAACAGCTGTGTACTCTACCTATAGCGACCAAACCCTGATCCAGACTTTGCAAAGGTTGTGCATAAATAACGTCTCAGGTTATATCAGTATTTTTTAATTCGATAATCAATGATATGGTTCCTCTCTCTTGAGATCGGACCAGACCTCTCGCCCGGCCCCCTTCCAATTTCCCACTTCTTCCTCACTCCTTTTTCTCCTGGCAAAGCCACATCTCCTCACCTCCACAAACCACACAAGCCCCCAATAAACAACAGACAGGGAGATGAGGATCCATGCCAACCATGCGAGAAACAACACTGATCCTCCCTGACGGATCTCGACACCAACCTCATTAACGACTCCGTCGACCGCTGCAAACACCCCAGCTATCACAATGGTAAGCAGCGTGGCCGCGAGAAAAGCAAACGTGCTTGCAAGGGTTGGCCACATGATATTCATATAGGCTAGGATCCGAGAATGTGGATAGATGATCCCTGGAATCGCCAATATCGTAGATAAAAGGGACCCAACAAGCGAGACAATGAGTGATGCAAAAACAGCCATTCGCACGCTAGCCAAAGTGGTTGAAATCATCATAAGTGATCTACTGCCTAAAATTATGGATTCGGAGTTTGCGGTTGACGTGCCGCTTGAAGAGGCCGATATTGCTAATTCTGCGTGACCTGATCAGCAAATACAATCAAATATTTGGAAAGAAAGTTCGCGCACCTGCAGCTACTGTGGAATAGCCCTTACATGTTCTCTCAAAGATATCTGAAGCGACTTCACTACCATGAGCGAGAGAATAATAACAGACCTTGTGCAAGTAGATGTGGTAAACGTTTCCCGTTTCTGTCGTGTCCGTGGCGGAAGACGACTCGAAAGCTTTCACATTTTTATATACTGGGGTTTGACTCTCGCTAGGAATGTATAGCTACAGCTGTGAGCCCGTGTGTTAACTGATATTGCCGGTAATAACTTACTGCTGCCAGATGTTGCCCGCCAAAAGTATGTGCGTTGTGCCCCGCCAGAGCCAATGTCAAGGTCAAGATGAAACTCGCAATTGCAAGTACCATGGGAAACACTGCAGAAAACCGGTATTTCTTCAAGACCCTCTTTGGTGTTTTCGGCAGTCCCGGCAGGGCTTTGTCAGTCGACTTTCGCAGATCTCCCAAATCAGGCTCGATACATGGCACCTCTTTGGAATACCGGATCCTATCGAGCTCTTGCATGATTTCTATTTGTGTCATCATCTTGCTCGAGAAGCGCTAGTGGTATGATAAATGATGGAATATGCTGATAGTAGCAAACGAGAGTGAGCAACGGCCCATAGCGAATGCAATGCGATTTGATCCAGAGTGACAGCCTATGTACAATCAACCCATTAGACGGTAGATATGACGTAACGGCTGCGTTACCGGCAAATCATCCTTCTCATGTTTGAAGTACATGGATAACCGCAGTTGCGTTGTTGCGAGTGCGGGATTGCATGACCGACATGTGGATCAGCGGCATGGTACTCTACAAGCAATGGATCCGCCATCCCGCATCTGGTTGCTTTCACGTCCTGATTTTCGAAATCTCGATCCAAATACGATGCAGGCAATGTGGGCGATCGTCGGCACTTCGCGCGGTGACGAATCTGGGTATAGTGTTGCGCTGGTGAGACCTGCAGTGATTACCACATGTCCCAAGCTCTTGAACCTGAGTTATTGAATCTCTCTCGAAACAACCCGCATTCTCGTATGGATAGAAACTGATCCGCAATGGTGGTTAGCAGAGTTTTGCTCTCCGCGAGATCGCAGATTGTGGCGAAACGGTGCATGTTTCAAGTGGCGGATCATCACCTATGGCGAGCCAAAATGCCGCGGCCATCATTGCTGCTGCTCTACGAGACCGCCCGCATCGATTACAAAATATGATTCTATTATCTGCTGCCTTCTAAAATATGTAGAATAACATTTAGCGAGAGAAAGCCTTGTCGCGTAACTGAGAAAATCATTGCGGTAGTCTACATTATTGGAAGGATCGTTGTTGAGCATCATTGTACTGCTGGACGTCAAGATGTGACATCATGCCTTCCTGAGCATTGGTTAGCTCGAAGCTGGTTCCACACCAATTCGTAAACTCACCCAATCAAGAGGGATGTTCAGGCTGTCTAGGTCCATGGGCATCTGACTATAGAGAAGAGAATGGCTGTAACTGTCGTCTCCAGCTGGGAATAGATTTGGCACATGACGTGGTGGCGTATGCTCGTTGAACACAAAATCCGGTGATGGGTAGACACCGTTGTGCTCTAACGTTGTAGTACCTACGGCTTGAAAACGTCAACTCGTGATAGTCAGCTCACCCTCATACAAAAACTTACAATGCGGGGGGCTATGCGTGTGGTCTTCGTGTTCTCCTACTTTGGAAAGTACTAGTCTCACTGCAGCCGCAACCTTTTTTGCCTCTTGAGATCTTTTGCTGCTCTCTAACCAAATGTGGTACGCGGAACGCAGCGATTCTATAATCTCTTCACGTGTTGGCATCCCTATTTCCAAATGGGACACTCCCGTCACCCTCCTATCGGCAACGTTGGGCAAAGGCGAAATCAAGTCTTCATCGAGGTCAAGGACTAGCACACTAGTAGCGAGGAGAAAGTCCTGGGCAACTATAGAAGCCGTGATTCTGATTACAGCGGTCATGCGGAACTTCTACATTGAACATGATGAGTCAGTGTCATTCCACACAAATTGCATAGGTGAGTTTCTTACCAATGAGCTATATTCATCCCCAGGCTGAATGTCCGCGTCCAGCTTATTTTGGAATGAGAGCAATTCAATTGCAGCATTAAGACAGACCTTCCGCGAGTATTCGTAAGGCTTATCGACTCTTCCAAGCTTGAGATATGGACGGTGCAGCATCACTTGAGCCTTCAGATAGGCCAATTCCAAATAAGTATAACGCATCAAGCTCAACTTTGAAGGGACACTAGCTTTGCCTAGATTCTTGGTTTCGAGGCTCTTGGGGATTTGGCTGTAGACAGATCTCAGCGCTGTATCGATGTCGATTATGGCCTGATATGGTGGCTGCGGTGTGGCTTGTATCAAGTCCAGAATCTGCGCCTGGATCTTTCGAATTCTGGTCAAAAGAATGAAATAGAGCAGCTGTGTGAGTTCTGCTTCTGATCTTGAGGGTGGTAGTTCCGTCATGTCCTCGTAGATATCGTCCTGGTTCAGGTTCCGAGGCTCTTGGGTATCGTACATGTACGGTTGGATCATTCTTGGCAACCCTAGCTGTGCTGATGTGACAAGATCAAGAGACATTATCGAATTCCACTTGCGTCGTCGCATTTCGCCTTCGAAAGGTGAGATGTTGGGAAACCTTGACGGATCCCTATGTAGCCCCACACGAAACGCTAGTCTTATAAGCATGCCGACGACCATGTATGTGCTGAACTGAGCATCCGCAGAGCGTGAGAACTCGCTGCCACAGTAAAGCATAAATGCTTCAATCGTCGCTGGTGGGCATTTCGTATAGTTGGCAAGAATCATACATTGTACAGCTTTCTCGCGATAGAATTTTGTACGTGCTGAATAAAGGCTCTGGGCACAATTAGGCCCCATGCCAACACCTTTTGACATGTGCCCATCGAAATTCGCCTGGAATCGAGCACCAGTGGCAAGAATAACGTAGAGAAGTCCCACCCACATGGTTGGCGTTTCAAATGAATTCAACCAGAAGTTTTGGTACTAAACAATGTCAGTTTTCCGACTCAGCAAGCAGGTACGTTCACGACGGGAGACTTGCTTGCTTGACAAATGTCGGCTTGTGCAGAAAAGCTTGTTTGTTTAGTACATTGATTTATTTGCTTGATAGCTGCAGACTTACTTGCATGGGTCTCGAATATTGTAAAGAAGGCCTCCATTAATTGATCTGCCTCAGGCCTTGGCGGTATTGCTGCCAGTATATCCTCTTTAGTTACAAGCCTTTGCAGTCCAAATAGGATTTCTGGGCGAGACGCTTCTTCTAAATCGTCACATCTTGCATCAGATGATGTGGGAATTTGATCGAGATGCTCACGCAATTCCGAAATCTATGGCATGCTCAGCGGAAGGAATACAGTCACATAGAAATAGCCTCACCCCATCGAGAATGCTTGTCCAATGGCCGCTACTTGTGTAACTCGTAGTTTCGTCATTGAACTTGACACGGTCCGGAGTTCCTAGTATCTCGTGGGAGCTATGGTCTTGATGCTGCGGCGTATGGCTCGGAGTGGGTGAGACGTGATTGGCATCTTTACCACTCATCAGGTTTGTGACAAGCTTCTCGAGCTGATTGATGCGATCATGTACACTGTTTGGGATTTTGGGTTCTTTTGGTGTTGGCATATTACGCACATACGTGCATGACAGTGAAAGCCCACGATCGACACAAGTCTTGCACGGCTGTTGACGATCGCATTTCAATCTTCAACATGTTAGTATAGGTCTATATAGCTGTGTGCACTAGTTCCGGAATTCCGAAACACTCACTTGCGTCGCCGACAAAGAGTACAGCTCAAGATAGGCTTGTCCCTTCGTCTGCTGGGGTGCACAAAACGCGATGGCTGCGGGTCAGTACTCATGCTTGGTATTCAAGCCAGAAACGGGCACTGGAAGTAGTAAGTGAGTGCTTGGCTAGCCTTGAGGGGCTGACGAGGTTGCAGTGTGAGTGATGTTCACTCCTCGGATATACCATGCGGGGGTATTAAACCACCGACGCTACTCCCTGCCGGTGGCGCTCGGCCGAGCCCTGTGATGTTGGACTAAACACTTATCGTCATCCCAAGTGTCGTTGCATTCGTTCAAGCATCCCATGTACTTACATAGGTTTTCCCTAGTGCAACGTCAACATCAAAAGCCTGCCGGGCAGTTCATGTACAACCATGATGATCTTATAAGAGAGATACACTACCATGGTCCAACCCAAGATGTAGGCACTTGCAGCGCAAAGTATTGTGCTTGTTTTCTGGGGAAGAATACGTCACTATTGAATATTTACTTACTAGTGCACCTCTCCTCGGGCAGATGACCTGGCGTGCGGACATGTGACTGACCATGATCACAATGATAATACGGCAATCCAAGTTATCAATTCTGGTCGTTCTAGCGGCGACTTTTGAATAATGGCGACACACGGACGCCAGAAACTCTAGAGGATAAGCAAAAAAGGAATATCCTTAGACTTTATGACGGGCTGCAATCTCCACGCAATGCGTTGCGACCCAACACGAATAGTATCCTCATGTTCCGTAATGAAAGAAATTCTCGCTTCATCATCTGTGAAAGGTATTGATCTGGGAGTTTCTTTCTGGCCACTCACTTTACAAGCAGTTGAGTGATCAAGATGTATCAACTCGCGAGCGTTTCGTGGGAGCGACAAACATGTGAGCAATGGTATTCGTGTTGGTGTTTTTAGGCTTAGTTACGCTGCCGAGTACATGCACATATCTCCCATACTCTACACAAGATTTCTTGTGCCTAGGTACATTGGCCATGGTTTACTGACATTCAATGAAGCATTCCTGTTTTGCGATTAGAAGTATATTGGCGTCTAAGGCTTTAATGGGTATCTTGGACCGGTAGTTCTCCCAAGAATACCCAGGCGGAGAGTATCTTGGACGGATCATCTTGCTCCGGTAGAATTGAGAAGATGTCCTGCTTTCATGGTTGTGACGCCAAATTCAACCTCACAATCTGAGTTTCTATATGATCGCTCATAGTTTTCAAACTGAAATTCTCTTATAGTAACCCATGGCACCGGTTTTCCAAGACTATGGAGCCTGACTTGGCCCTTGAAAGATCGAGCGTCTGCGCAATTCTATTGAAAAAGAATTTATGTTTCTTATGGCACCGAGTGAGCGGCATGATTTGTTTCACAGACTCGATATTGTACTACAGCGAGGAAGGTTGATTATGATGTTCCTGAAATGCTAGCCACCCCAAGGAAAGATGAGACAGCTATTCACAAGGGCGACAAGGAAGTGGGCCCCGCAAACTGCCCGATATTAAGCCAAGACACCTGACAGTCGCTCCGACACCTCTTTCGTCCATAGTGTGATTCTGACCGGTCTTGAATGGGGGTTCCCCACTTCTTTGCAACGGTGGGGCGATGCAATCATCTTTTCTTTGTATCACCGTTTCCCTGCAACGCTGCCGTTCTGTGGCGGTACGAGCACCAATGGAAGTTTTCGTTGCTTTGCCGGAAACCAACCCGCCGCGGAATAGCCTTTACTGCGCCCTGACAAGTATTGTGAGATTTTTGTATCACAGGCCGTGATATATAATGCATATACATACATACGCAGAGCAAATCTCGGACGTGGAGGTGAATAAAATTGTGTGGTAGTATGGCGCATGTCTTCCGAACATCCCACCTAGTAGGATCTGCTATGCAAGATATCGCCTCCTTGTGTTTTTGTCCGAACACGCTTTGGCGTACCTGCATCGCATGCATAGCGCCATCTCACTCCAACTCAGCCTCAGGGTACAACCGCTCATTGATGCACTAGAATCTGCACCGAATCTTCTCTACATCACATTTCAATGGTCGCCTGCAGGACGGAATGGCCCAAGAGCTGCGCAGCACTCTCTGAACAATATGAACTATGTTAGTTTGACAGTATTGACCAATCTGTAGGCCCATTTCATGATTACATCTATAAAGAACCATGTGGTTGGGTTGCCGGAAGGTGGTGTAGCAAGCCGGGTAAACCGCGCAATATATTGCGGGTCTGCACCCTACCCTGGTCGATACCATCTTGGCTAATATGCCATAGCGGGAAAACGTTCTGCTCCGGGGCAAACAACCATTCCTTACTCTCGCTAAAAGATGTTCCCAGGTGATGAAGCGCACTAGCAGCGTTAGACTGTCACAGCGCGAAAGCTAGGCCTTCACTCACACCAAGGCTTGGACCTATTCAGGAATAATGTCCTCCATATTGCGGCCCGACGGTACCGGCTATCAAACGTCAAGTCCGCCACCTGAATGTAAGTGTTTGTACTAAGGGAAACATCTGGAGATGGAGCACATGACAACATGCGTGTTACCCGCAACTTGCCAATTTCATCACTAAATCTATAAAAGGCTGGAGATACCTACCCATTGTACTCCTCAGCAAACAAACAGGAGTCCTCCATCTGTTCTCAAGCTCTCATCAATCATGGTTCAAGTCACACAGTTCGTTTTGGCCACTGCCGCCCTTGCTGGCGCCGCAGCTGCATTCCCCAAACCAGAGCCCAGAAATACCACTGTCAACCCATGGATTGGCAAGGACCGCTATGTTGTCGAAAGCTACGGCAAGAAGCTTGACCAAACCATTTCTTCCTTCCTAGCAAAGAATGACCCCCTCAATGCAGCACGAACCCGCACTGTGGCCAAAAAGACTTCCACCTTCGTGTGGGTTACATCGCGCGCTGGACTTAGCCAGATCCCCGAAGCCATCCAACAAGCCCGCCGTCAACGAAAGGGCCGAAAGAGGATGATTGTCGGCCTTGTCCTTTACAATCTCCCCGACCGTGACTGCTCTGCTGGAGAGTCTGCCGGAGAGCTCAGCTCCGCCAAAGATGGCCTGAACATCTACAAGCATGAATTCGTCGACAAGTACGCACAGCTCGTATCTGAGGCCAAGGATCTCGACTTTGCCATTGTCCTCGAGCCCGACTCGCTCGGCAACGCCGTCACCAACCAAGGTGTTCCCTTCTGCGCCAACGCCACCCCCATCTACGAGCAAGGTATCGCTTACGCTATTGCCAAGCTCCAGTTCCCCAATGTATCCCTATACATGGATGCTGCCCACGGAGGCTGGCTTGGATGGGCCGACAACCTGAAACCCACAGCCCAGATTTTTGCCAGAGTTGTCGAAGCGGCTAAGAAGATCAACCCAGCGGCCAAGATCCGTGGTTACTCTACCAACGTATCCAACTACAACCCTTTCAACGCCAAGGTCCGCGAGAACTACACTGAATGGTCTCCATCTTGGGATGAGAGCCACTACGCTACCTCTCTTGGAGCGGCAATGGCAGCTGAGGGCATGCCAACTAACTTCATCATCGACCAGGGCCGTGTTGCCCTCCCCGGTGCTCGCAAGGAGTGGGGCGAGTGGTGCAACGTTTCGCCCTCTGGCTTTGGAATGCGCCCTGGAGCTGCACCAAACAACACCAACGTTGACTCGATTGTCTGGATCAAGCCCGGTGGTGAGAGTGACGGAGCCTGCGGTCTGGCTGGTGCGCCTGTTGCTGGTGCTTGGTTCGACGACTACGTTCAGATGCTCGTCAAGAACGCCGACCCTCCTCTTGAGCCTACCTACTAGAAAGGATCCCGCGGCTGAGGTTGAGGAAACTGTCGCCCGGCCTTAACTTTCGGTGTATTCATGTAGATTTTGAACTTTCAACTGTACATATTGTCATGAGAATACATAAAACTAACTGATATTCACGAATATTTATTCGCCATAACCTTGCTTGATCCCAGTGCTCTTGATTGGCTATGAACTTTATATCGGACGTGCGCACATATCAACGGGTACTAAGTCAGATCTTTGCCTTTGCAGGCGGCGTCACTCTCCTCCCATGTACATAACAAATGCTCCTAATCTTCTCAGCAGCCTCGCCCCACAATTCATTTCTCAGCAGACTGTATACGCCCATTTTGGCCCGACCTTGTATCTCTCTCGCCTTTGTCAATGCGACATTCAGCATGTCCTTTGGCTCTGCAATTGCATCCACTATACCATCCTTGTATGCTTCCTTGCCTGTCCATCGATGTGCCTCGAGCAGCATCTTACGCGCAACCTGCGGGCTGAGTTTCAGCCTCGGCAGATACCCGATGCCTGGAAAATGTAGTCCTAGGTTGACTGGCGGCATGGAAAAGAAGCCGCGCTGCGAGTTCATGATGCGATAATCATGCGCCAGTGCCAACGGACATGCGCCGCCAAATGTGTGCCCTGTGATCAGTGCGATGGTCGGGAACGGATAGTCGAGTAGCGTAGCTAGCAGCGGGAAGAAGCCGTCGGTATTAGCATGCGGATTCGCCTCGTTCTCGTCCAGATCTAGACCTGTGCACCAGAACTTTTCGTCCGCACCCTTTGTAATGACGCAGCCTTCCGCGTCGGGCCCAAGCTCGCTCTCGATATCACGCAGTGCGCGTATGATTTCTTGCGCAAAGGCAACATTGATACGGTTTTCGGGCGCTTTGGCGAGCGTAATGACGAAAACGCTGTCGTAGCGTTCGGCGCGGAGGTTAGTGTAAGGACCCAGTGTCATCGTGGAAGATGTCCAGGTAAGCCGACAAGAATGAGGCTGTAGGATTATTCCGTGATGCAGACACAACTTCTATAACAATCAAAATGCTCGACGACGAGAAGTTTGCAGCACTACATGTTCGCGTGGTACAAACAGTGTCAAGTTTGGTGGTGTTGAGGGATTCAAGCCTCGGTATCCAAAGTGCGGAGAAGGTGGGGAAGCGGAGGCGGCCCATGCCGCAATCCATCCATTGCCTATCGTCTATGACTCGCTTTCAGTAACTTCCTATTGAGGACTGACGCGACAAAGCGTAGGATATTGTGTTGGTAATCGTTTATGATTGGATGCGACAACGAGAAGGCTCTCTATCATTGCTCAAGTGTATGCAGTAGGGAAGATGCTTTTAACAGGTCACGTGTGCACGATAAGGATACATAGATATCTGCCCACATTACGACACTTGCCTTCCACATTCGCCCCACTGGAATGAGAACAATCATCGTCTTTTAAATCACGATCAATTTGACAGTATACAATCATGTGTGTACACCGAAATGACTGTTATCATCACCCAGATACCACTCATTTTTCCAGGCTAAAGGCACTGCTTCATTTAACCAGCCATGCATGCCCCTATTTTGCCAAATGCCACGCAATAGTATACGATATGAAACCCGGCAACCAAGTTTCCACCACATTTCCCACTCTTTTGAAATCATAATAGCCTAGAGTTTTTTATCGTTCATGTGGGGACGTCTTTGGAACCCTCCACTCGAGCCACTATGATACTTGTCTTGGGTATGGCTTAGGGCATCACAAATGACAATTTAAGAGTGAAAAAAACCCCAAAAGGGTGTTTGTTTACAGAGAAGATAATCGAATTCTTTCTTGTAGGAAACAGCTTCCGCCTGCGACAACGAACTTCATGTTGGGCAGACACAACATATATGGTATCGTCCGCCCCACAACCTCCACATAACATGAGCGGCACATCATTCCACACTCTACCAGAGATGGTGAAACACAAATTCATCGTATAATATGGACCAGATGAAGCAGGATCTGTAAATATAATGTACATTTCTCTGTCGGTCATCCTGAGCATAACCATCACCCATTAATCTTCGAATAAATACAGGGATAAGGTGGATATACGATCAGCCATTCACACCGAAATAGAAATTCACAAAGATCTGGGATCAGCTGCGAAAAAGAAGCATCCTCAAAGCGAATACCCCGTCGCCTATTATGAGAATATTCAAACTAGGGCTAGCAACCCTTCCAAGCGTTGGTATGTGATTCACCATCACCAACTTATTACAAACTATAAACCAAGTACAGTATATGGACAAACATCAACGTCAATTTCAAATCATACTGTGCTTCCAACAAGCAAAGTCACGAATACCACTACTTCGACGTCAAGCGGACTAGTTCATACGAGCATCCCTACATCCTGTGGTGATGTCTCCAATCTCGAATTTCCTGTGGACGCCGCTAAAGGATGGAGAGTTACAAAGGTTGCGGGAAGCTTGATACAACCGCGAGGACTCGCCTTCGACGGTGCTGGTAATCTCCTGGTGGTTCAAAAAGGGTTTGGTATAACTGCGCACAAGGTATTTCCAAATGGGTGTCTTGAGCCTCCCAAGGTAGTGATTGCACAGCAAAATCTCAATCACGGCATCGTGTTCAGCCAGGATGGCAAGACGCTTTATGCCAGTTCTGCAACCTCGGTCTTCGCTTGGGCATATGATGCAGCGACAATGAGTATATCAGGAAGCTCGAGGACAATAGTAACAGGTATGGATAGCAAAGGCCATATCACACGGTCCCTCAGTATCCCACCAAAATACCCAAACTTGCTCCTTGTTTCACACGGCTCAAACGGCAATATCGATTATGGTTCTCTTGATATCAAAACTGGGCGCGCTTGCATCAAGGTCTTCAACACAACAACCATACCACCCAATGGCTATGACTATATCAATTCTGGCACTCAACTTGGCTACGGTCTTCGTAACGAAGTCGGTCTCGCCTTTGACGCAGCATCGCACCTCTGGGGCGTCGAAAACTCTGCTGACGAACTGTACCGTACCATCAACGGCGTCTCAACTGACATTCATAATGACAACCCCGCCGATGAGCTCAACTATATCGGCGACCCATCAGGCGAAAATAAGGATTGGTACGGGTACCCTACCTGCTTCACTGCCTTCTCTCCATCAACCATCCCCGGAGGAAACTTTACTGTGGGCGACCAGTTCGTATTGGAGCCCAATACCACCTTCACCGACAACACATGCAAAGAGCGCAGTGTAGCACCTCGGGTTGCGCTGCCTGCACATTCGACACCGCTCGATGCAAAGTTCAACACGGATTTCTCTGCTCTATACGTCACTCTTCACGGGAGCTGGAACCGCGATCCGCCTGTGGGATTCAAAGTCATTCAGGTGCCGTTCGAGCAGGCAAATGGGAGCTTTGGACCGATACGAAGGGGTAACGCTACGGAGGCATGGGAAGATGTCTTGTGGAATGAGAGTGTGGATACATGTTCCAAGACGAGCTGCTTTCGACCTGTTGGCTTGGCGGTGGATAGGTGGGATAGAGTGTATGTTAGTAGCGATAGCTCGGTGGAAGGTGAGGTCGTTATGTTGGGAAGGGACTAAGTGAGATGGGGCTGCTGGGTTATCGTTAGTGACAAAACTGTTCAAGGTCTTGCTTCTTAGGCAGCTCGCGTGTGGGCAGCGGAGCTTCAGTGTCAATATGGATGAGATTGTGATCCTTTCTTCAGGGTTGCGAGCGCTGCATATGAGTGATAATTTATGTCAATGATGGGTAAAGAAACGGACACACTCGGAGGTGAATAGTTGAGGTGCAAGGGTCGAACTTATTCGATCGGGAAGGTCGGGTCAGATGGGAAGTCACGCTGCACGCATGCCACAATAACCCCTCACACTATTCGTTAATCAAACCTGAGCAACAACACTGATATCAGTCCATTTCTTCTTTCTCTTTAGCGCGAATGCCGCATACGCCACAGCGAATCAAGGCAAAAACTCGCATGCAGCCCAAATCACAAAGAGACCAAGCGTTCTCGATAGTCCGATAAACGTAGCTTCACTTCACTCTATCTGGTTTCATCGCCATCATAGAGGTAGCCGATATTATCTCAATCACTGCGCGTCTTGTCTGAACCTATCGCAAGTGATTCCATTACAAACTGGCACACTAATAGCCCACCATTCCCCACTCAACATACTCAACGTAAGCTCTTGAAACATTAGAAGTATCGAAGTATGTCACGAAAGGGGGAGACATTGGGCTTGAAGGCTCTGCATACGACTGCACTCAAGTGATCAACTCGTCTACCTTGTACTCTGACAAATGCCTCATCAGCCTGAGGTATTGAAATCCGAAACGGAGACACGGGGAACCGGGAAACTGAGAAGCTAAGCTTTGTGGGGGAATGACGCGTTTGTGGCAACTTCGTCGAAGAAACAGTTCGATATTCCTCTTTTTCGAACTCAAGAAGTAAACATGTAAATCCAAATGACCCATACGAAATACGACTGTTTCCCTGGGGAAAGGACACCAACAAAGAAGACAAGACCATGTTTTCGACCTCTCCCTGGGTTGGCCAGCCAAAAGGGGGACGCACAAGAGTCCATGCTGACTACATAGAAGCCTTCACTTACAAAGACCTCATGAGCGAATCAAGACTAAAAGTTGGAGGCCGAAAGTCTGGTGTTTCCACGGCCAGATATTTTCAAGGGCATCTGGAAGCGAAGAAATGAGAGAGGAAAGCCCGTCTCTCAGATCCCGATACATGGATGCGAACATTCTGAGCGGCTCATTGGCGGCAGCCAAAAAGGCGCCAAGCCCATCAACTCGGTTCCCGGATCTCTGATTGCATAGAGCTAAACTCTTGCAGCTTCGGAAGACATGCTTCACAGGGGCGATGGGCAATACTGTCAGCTGTCGTGTGCTACTACGGCAGATTCAGACATTCGGTAACTCAGCTGCGTCCCACGTGCAGCGGCGTGATTGGGCACGATATTTGTGGAATATGCTACTCCATGTGTAGGACCCCCATACTTATCCAAGCCCCAATAGCATTTCATGCTAGACATTCGAGAAGTGCAGCATGATCCCGCGTTGCTACCCTTATGGAGGAATACTCCGGCGCTGACGGCCCACCTTGCCAAGGACATCTTGGCGGCATCCAATTAGGAGACGATAGCCGAACCCGTGGGACCACCACACCGGGACGTGGGACAGTAAAGGCTATTAGTTCTTTGACCCGCCGGATATGCGAGTCCCACAGGCAATCCGAAGGCCAGACTGCCTAACCCGCAAAAGAGTGGGCTCGGCTGGGTCGTTGATCTTGATGTAGCATCAGACAGCCGTGCAGTAGATCGAGAAGGAGAACGTGGGATTGAGGTTGCTGAGATGCGCCATTGACGAGACACGCATGCATTACTTGTCAGTCCAGGATCGACCGTGTGCTAAGCATGTCATGCCTACGTTACAAGCAGATGCCAATAGCCCGAAGCTTCCTTGTCGCAGGCCTGGGCTGCAAATAAGCCTCCACCCCATGTTGTGGCCAAGGCATCGTGGTTGGAGAAAGTGTTCTGGCCAAGCATCGCTAGCGGCCACGTGGGGAAATGAATGGACTACAACGCTCATGGACCACACGCCTTCACCCCACCGGCTCAACTACCAGGATACAGGAATCCCAGCAAACGCCTCAGCGGCTGCGCCATTCACTGAAACGGAGTGCCATGCTCAGGCCTGGATTTGCACATTGGATGTTTCTCTCGCCTTTTGCAGCGGCATGGCCGAGGAAATCTTGGCAAACCTTCCGCGCGTGCTTCAATCTGACACTGAGATTGGCTGCAGTCTAGTGCTCACTTCAAAACATAAGCATGCCGCGCAGCCTGACAAGAGAGCTTGGGTATAAGTACAAGGCTTGGCCCGGTTGTTTTGGCAAGCAGCCCTCATCTTGCTCACCCGTCTTTTGCGGTACCAAGCTTCGTCAAGGCCAGCGTAAGCACTTGCTAAGACTTTGAAATGGCTGCTAAGACGGCTGGCGGAAATTCCGCCTTCCACAACTTCAACAAGTACGGTTCCTGCATGTTCTGCCCCTTGAAATATTTCTCTTGCTAACAATCATCACAGTGACTTCTCTGTTCGTACACCTACTACATACCAACCTCCCTTTTTAGCAAGACACTGACCTGGAGTAGCATATTGAGGACCCAAATGAGCGCCGACGTCTTGCTCTCGCCGAAATCGACAAGGCCCCCTTCGGCTGGTACCATGTACGCGCCATTCTGGTCGCTGGTACTGGTTTCTTCACAGACAGCTACGACATCTTCTGTGTATCCCTCTTGACCATTATGCTGGGTATCGTCTACAAGCAGGACCACAAGGGCACTCTTTTGACCCAGCAAGATACGGCCATCAAGCTAGCCACTTCGGCTGGCACGGTCATTGGACAAGTTGGCTTCGGTGCACTTGCTGATATCGTTGGCCGTAAGAAGATGTACGGTCTTGAGCTCATCCTGATCATTGTTGCGACCCTCGCACAATCTCTGGTTGGTCCTGGTCCAGGAACGTCAGTTGTTGGTCTCATCATCTTCTGGCGTGTGCTCATGGGCATCGGTACGTCTCTCGTGTAACTTTTTATCCTTCACTACTGACCAGTACCAAGGCATTGGTGGTGACTACCCACTATCTTCCATCATCACTTCCGAGTTCGCTACTACCAAGTGGCGTGGTGCTATGATGGGCGCTGTCTTCGCCATGCAGGGTTTCGGTCAGCTTGGCGGTGCTCTCGTCATGTTGTGCCTTGTCACCGGCTTTAAGGGCAAGCTCGTCAAGGCTAGTGGCTACGATACCTGCACTGGTGAATGCCAGGTCGCTGTCGATCAGATGTGGCGTGCTCTCATTGGACTCGGCATCGTCCCTGCCTGCATTGCCCTCTACTACCGCCTTACCATCCCGGAGACGCCTCGCTACACTTTCGATGTCGCTCGTGATGTCGAAAAGGCAAATGAAGATGCGAAGCAATATCTTTCTGGCAAGCACGGTGAGGGAAATGTCGACGAGATCACCCAAGTTACTGCTCGCCGTCAGTCTGCTGCCCAGCTCGAAGTTCCCAAGGCTTCCTTCAAGGATTTCTTCAGGTTCTACGGAAAGCTTCGCAACGGCAAGATTCTCTTTGGAACTGCCATGTCATGGCTCCTTCTTGATGTCGCCTTCTATGGCCTTGGTTTGAACTCTTCGACTGTGCTGCAGGCTATTGGCTACGCCAGCGGTGAAAACTTGTACCACAAGCTCTACAACCTTGCTGCTGGCAATGCTATTCTTATCTGCGCCGGTGCCATTCCAGGTTACTGGATGGCAGTCGCAACCATTGACACTGTTGGTCGCAAGCCCCTTCAACTGATTGGCTTTACTCTCCTCACTATCCTCTTCATCATCTGGGTACGTTCACACATCCACGAAAAATCTTTAGTTACAAAAAAAAGAGCATCACGACTAACATTATCCTAGGGTTTTGCCTACAAGCACCTCAGCAACCACGCCATGCTTGCCATCTACGTCCTCATCCAGCTCTTCTTCAACTGGGGACCCAACACAACTACCTTCATTGTTCCCGGAGAATGCTTCCCCACGCGCTACCGCTCTACCTCTCACGGTATCTCCGCCGGCTCAGGAAAGATTGGCTCCATCATCGCCCAGGGCGCCATTGCCCCACTGCGAACACGAGGCCACCCTACAAAGGCCAACCCCAGCCCGTGGCTCAACCACGTCATGCAGATCTTCTCTGCCTTCATGTTTGCTGGTATCTTCACCACACTGCTTATCCCAGAAACCAAGCGCAGGACGCTCGAGGATCTGGCGCAGGACTGGGATATGGGTGATGAGAGCATCACTGGCGAGGAGCACATTCGCAAGATGAACAGGACCAGCGATGAGGCTGAGGCCAAGGCTTAAAAGGTCGGGGCATCATCACCCATTTGCGGAAATTCGGTCTCACATAATTTGTTTTATTTTCCTTTCGTTCAAATGTTTTTCGAAAAGTAGAGAGAAGCAAAACAGAAACACAGAATCTCCACGGAGAAACAGTACATGTACGCTGTCTATGTTGAAAATGAGTAATAATCACCTTTTTGAAATGTTTCGTGTCGGCCAGACTATGGACTTGCAGTCGTGTGTGTGCTGTAGTATGTGCCAAGCACTGCATTACAAGCCAGCGTGGCGAAAAAAAACCCCTGTACATTTGTGTGTAGCATTGGGTTAATTGGCTCAAAGTCTATCTCAAGTCTTGGCAGCTGAGATCCTGTAGGAGCCGTATGGCTTGGGGCTGGCCCGCCCCTCACCATTGTCACTGTACAGAGTAAAGATCTGCTTGGAATAAAAGGAGACGACAATATACTTACTCTATTTACGACATGATAGATGTGTTCAAGAAAATACTGATGAAAAGCAAAAAGCAAAAAAGTTCGCAAGGCACAGAGAGCTCTCATCTTTACCTACTTGGTCTGGTACATAGCTGTGCATTGATGCGACACGTTCCCCTTTCACGTATTGGATATCATCGTTTTACGTACAGTCCCAGTGGCTATTGATGAAGACGCATGGAGTGAATGAATTGCCAAGATGGGATAGACGTTCATCTGATTGTTTACCAATCAGGAAGGTCCTTCGGGAAGGCTGGCGGTAGTTTTCAAATGCAGGAGTCATTAAT